ATGCCCAAATTGCAACAACTATGTATTTTGAACATTCAATTTGTGCTTACCATTAGGTAACTAGTATTTCCTTCAAAACCTTTAATCTATCATTTAGAATCATAAAAACAATGTATTCAATGTATTCAATGTCTCTGATAGACTATTATTTATGAAACCTCAATTTGTATTCAGGAACTCCTACTAGATTTTCATACCATTGTCAATCACCCATGTTACCAGCCTTCAGCTGTGTAGAGTTTCTAGATCTCTACAGCCCTGACCAGGTAAATGGAAATGTTATATAAATTTTGATAGAAATATTTCATTTCTGTATTTTAACATCACATGACAAACATATTGTGTTTCATTATAAGTGACACGTTTATTTCATTGTCACAATCAATAACTATTTTATATTTCATGAGTATTTTCAGTATTTTGCCATAAAACGGATAATCCGTGATTCACTGATACAATTAATAGCTTCAAATGTACAATTGCGTTTCCTACAGTGTATCGCAAAATGGTATAACTGAAACTCATGATTTTCTGTATTTTATATTTATAGGCTGGTTTTGGTTTTGGATCTGAATTAGTGGTACTATGGTAATAACTACAAATAGCCAATTTTGAATCTGTTAGCTAGATACTACATTGCCATGTTAAGGTTGCTGTGTTATTTTAATAAAGTGTAATTTTAATAAAGTTTTGATATTTTAAACTATCTTCATATTTGATTAAAGCAACAACAAATTTCCCATAGAACCCACCAGTTACATATACATTTTACCAAAACATTCTACTCTACATTCTTTTCTAGGTACATTAGTGCAATCGTTGTGCAATAGTGAGAGATGTAGACATTGTTGGGAAAGAGTGATTCAAAGAAAGATAACATGTGACCCTATTGAGGGTTGCAACAAAATTCCCAACATTCACCCTGATCTTAACACTCATTTCCAGTTTTTTCTTAGATCCATTTTTGTTTGTTTTTAAAAAAGTAGGAAAACATTTATGCAGGCTTATGACCGGAAAAAAATAATAAGTAAAAAACCAAAAAAATAAAATGAAAAATACCGAAAAAGTAGGATGTCCATCAGCTGTGTCTATATTTACTTGGTGTGAAAATTGTTAACTGAATATTTGTTAAAGAGATATTGTTTTAATTACAAAAGTAACACCTGGAGCCTAGCGCGTACAGTTGAGAAATGTTGGATGTAAAAAAACGAATAAATGTTGTGCTGTTTCACCAGATTTGACTGACATCTTTAAATAACAACAATTTGATTTGATGATCAGACAGCAACAAAACATATTAAGTGGCCAAGACAAAAGAATGTTATTATGATAAGCATTCTAGGGATTAAGGAATGCATTCAGCTTACATAATTTGAGAAATTATTGGCATACGTTAAACCTATTTAAAACAGCATTTATCGTATTCAAAAGCGTTGAGCATCATTGATTCCCAGCCCTCTGAAGATTGAAAAATAAAAATACCTGGGTGTTAATCCATGGATTATCTTTGAAAATGAGAAATATATTTTTGGATTACATGGTGTAATCTTAAAGTAAACAAAATGTTGTAAAGTGTATTGATGTTTTTTGGATGAAAAACATAAGCGAAATTCATGAAAAAAATCGCCCGATTCATTCTACAAACAACTCGCCCTCCTTTCCCTCCGATTAATTTTTTATGTCCCACCTTAGTTGTTGCTACAATGAAGAGTCTGTATTAGTGTTAAAGGAATTGACAATAATTTTAAAATTACCTCCTGTTCAAGTTGCAATCATTTTTATAGATTATATTGATAGATTTAATATCACTGAATATGGTATTGCTTGTTGAGGATCACACAACATTACCATTTATCATTTATTTGAGATTTAAGCAGGGGTCCATTTTTTAAAGAAATAATCATTTTAAAAGATTTCTTGTGAATAGATAATAAATAAGTGCAAAAAGTATGAATTATTATATATCAAGAGGATAATGTAAAATTTCAACTGAAAAGTTAGATCAAAATGGAATCCAAATTCACAGTAGGGGGTATAACTCATCAAACACTGTATAATTTTTTAAAACTTATTGTTACAGCCTTATGTTTTTAATTTGCTTTTGTTAGTTAGGATTATATCATTGATCATTCATGAATTTTTGTGCACCATACAAGGTTACAGAACTTCATTTATGAACGATTTCAGCAGGGGTCTATTTTACGAAAATTAAATATTTTTCCTGATAGTTCTTAGATGGAAAGCTAGTACATTGTTACGATTAAATTACATCATTAAGGTGTATAAATCATAAAAACAGGTTTCATCCTGATGTCTACAACCTAATTCGTATAAGGCCATGTCAAATGGGGGGGGGGCATTGACCTCCATTTGGGGATCTTTATTACTTATATGATTTCAATATTACAATAATGTCGGTATCATTATAAACAGGCACTAAATAAGTGTAGAGTATTATAAAAACGTTGACAGCAAGAAGATTTATAAAATTGAAACTGTAAAACGAGATAACATTTGGGCTCTAAAATCACAATGATTGGTATAACTAATCAAATGTTTACTTTTTAAGGTTATTATCATATCCTAGCAATTTAAATTGTTTTAAATAGTTATAATTGAATTATTTGCAGTTTCTGAATTTTTCGAATATCTTAAAATGGTTCAGATTTTCATTTATTGAAGATTTAATTCAAGTCAAATTCAAAAAGATGAATATTTTTGTGGATAGTACTCAGATCAATTACTATTATTACCACCTTGCCGGGAATGTTATAGGGGTATTAGTGCTAGTTTAGAAGGCATTTATGTTACTTTATCGATCTGAGCAATATGTGACGTCATAGTGGCGGGCCATAGTTGCGGGCCAATTATGCATTAACGCCCGGCAATTTTCCCCGGGAAATGACATATCTTTCAATGCATATAATTTTTGCTATTTCAGCCCTGGGCATTAACTGTGGTAATACTAATAACCTCATTTCTGCAGGCAATATTAAACAAATACTGGATGATCAGGAGCTTGATATGGCAGAATACCTATTTGAGAAAAAAATATTGGGCGAGGCGGTATTTATTAATTTCAATATAGAGCGTTCGGGTTCTAGCATTGCCTCATGGGATAGTCTATTTTCTACTAAATAAAATAATCTATTACTAAAGTTATGTGCTTGCAGAGATAGCCTGTATCGCAAATATCATATATCCTTTCACCCCACATCATATCATATGCTTTATTGATATTAAAATCCAATTTTATAAATAGCGCGAATACATTCTTAATTCATCTTAGATTATAATTTGAATGCAAAAGCCAATTCATAAGTAGATAATTCGTTGTAAACTTCAAAAGTGTCAATATCTAATATTTTTTATTATTATGGACCTCTGTTAAACCGCTCAATGATAAGTAAACGATAATGTTGACAGGTCCTCAACGGATGAAAACGTATGTAGGAATATATGTTTTATCATTTAAACATATCATTTAACAATTGGCGGATCAACGATTAAACACGATGATGTTAAAATAAAGTGAACTAAATGGAACCATTATTTTTTATCATTTTGAATGCAAAATATAGTCAGACAGACGATCTTAGTTTCAATTAAACAGATAAAATCAATATGTCATACTAATAAACTTTACAAAAGCCGATAAATGAGGAGATAATCTGTTGTAAACTTCAAAAATATCAAAATCTAATATTTTTGTTGACCCCTGTTAAACCCCTCAATAATAAGGAAACGGTAATGTTGACAGGTCCTCAACAGGTGAAAATGTATATAGGAATATATGTTTTATCATTTAAACATCAAAACAATTGCCGGACAAAAAACAAGATGATGTTAAAAGAAAATGAACTGTAAATGGAATCATTGTTTTTAATCATATTGAATGCACAATATAATCAGATAGACGATTTTATTTTCAATTAAACAGATAAGATCAATACGTCATACTAATTAGAAAATGGCAACTTCACGGAGTAGCCCAACGAACACCATATAAATCATCAATCTGTACAGTCACAATGTAATATTTACCATCTACTCTTTCCTTCAATAAATATTTTAGATCAGTGTAACCATACTTTAAAGATGACTCTAAGTAATGTCGAATATCTGCTCTAGTCGGATATTTTGAATTTTCAGAGGCACAAATCCGAAAAACACTGCCATCATTGTTATCTACTCTGAAATTCCTTCAATTTGAGTATAATGTAGCCATACTTTTAAGAGATCAGAAATAATTGCAAAATCAATTGCCGGATCAACAAAAAACAAGATGATGTTAAAAGAAAGTTAACTAAATGGAACCATTATTTTTAATCATTTTGAATGTAAAATATAATCAGACAGACGATCTTATTTTCAATTAAACAGATAAAATCAATATGTCATGCTAATAATCTTCCCAAAATCCGATTCATAAGTATATAATCCGTTGTAAACTTCAAGAATATCAAAATCTAATATTTTAAAATTTTTGTGGACCCCTGTTAAACCCCTCAATAATAAGTAAATGGTAATGTTGACAAGTGCTCAACATGTGAAAACGTATGTAGGAATATATGTTTTATCATTTAGATATATCAAAACAATTGACGGATCAACAAAAAACAAGATGATGTTAAAAGAAAGTGAACTTAATGGAACAATTATTTTTAATCATTTTGAATGCAAAATATAATCAGACAGACGATCTTATTTTCAATTAAACAGATAAAATCAATATGTCATGCTAATAATCTTCCCAAAATCCGATTCATAAGTATATAATCCGTTGTAAACTTCAAGAATATCAAAATCTAATATTTTAAAATTTTTGTGGACCCCTGTTAAACCCCTCAATAATAAGTAAATGGTAATGTTGACAAGTGCTCAACAAGTGAAAACGTATGCAGGAATATATGTTTCATCATTTGAACTCATCAAAACAATTGCAGGATGAACAGGAGGAAACAGCTTAATTAAGGCTTATCTGAAAAATTCCTTTATCCCTATATAGGTTTAGCCCAGTATATCATATGGAAAGCCTTAATATTGTACAGTCTGTTAACTAGGCAACCAGTTGAATCTAAAAACTAAGAAATATATCGTTAACGTACAGAAAACTGCACGGTGGTATGTTTGACGCTGTACGCTGATACGATGGTTAGACGTGAGGACACGTGATATAAACAGGTACAAGGGCGACATCACAAACAATTGATATGTATTCCTGAGCCTCAGCCAGTTATACGCTGTATTAATCAAGGTCAAATAGCCGGTAGATGAAATAATGATCTGAAAGTCAGTGTGAACAGTATGGCCTACATGTACTTATAAGAACAGCCTACTACGAAGCAGTAGATAAAGAATACTTTACATGGTGAATGAAATACTTGATGGGGCATTCGAAGGATAAATACGATATGCTGTATTTAGATTTTCTGAGGTAATATTGTAAAATTTTCTTCTACTATTTCACAGCTACATTAGTAGTCTATTGCATATCGAAGCAGTTGCCTGGCATCGCATTCGCAAATTGAATGACTGTAGCCTAGATGCATTACATGTACCTTCGTGAGGTATAAGTACTCTCAAAAATGAAGCGTATGTACAGCTTCAGCCCAGTAGCATATGGTTCAAGCGTTGATATTGTACTAAGCTGGTATATTATACAATAGCCTATTGTATTGTACTTTTACGGGTAAATGCATATAACATAAGATTGTTCATGCCACACATAAATATCTCATAAAACATCTAAAAGTTGAATTCGTATTTCAGTTAACCCTTTGAGAGCCTCGTCATACATTTTCAGAACTACCATAGATAAAGAACTAAACAACTGAACTAAACATTCAACTTAACGTTTAGATTCTAGTTGTTCAACAAGTCCTATCTAAGTACGATGACACAGCGATGGCATCATATATGAAAGACAAGGCAGGAACTTTGAAGAGGATCGAGAATTTTATACACGATAAGCATGGCTTTTATGACTGCTGCAACCTGAGAGGAAGGTATACTATTGTAACTTCCTGATATCGTATTTTTATATTTTCCTAAAGATAGAATATGCATGCGGTGTAGTAGGATAGTATTCAAAGCAAAACAAGGTGTGTACGATTCGAGCCAATCAGAACCCGCTATTCCTCCACGTAACTGTATACGTTATATAACCAATAACGAACTGAAGGTCACTAGTGCTGTGACGGTGTTGACTGGACTCTACAGATTAAAATTAATGACTTGTCAACTTGACCCTTGCAAAGATTTTCATTGAAAATGTGTTTTTAGTGATTTCGTACCTTTTAGATGATTTAAAGATTCTCGCAATCTTTATCCAATCAGCGTTTGCGATGTGTACCGGCTCACGTTTAAAAGGCGAATCCAACTCAAATCCATGCAGGGGTGTATGAGGTACTCGAATAGGAAAGAGCTCGTGAAATCTGAATTTATATGCACATGGTCAATGTTTACACATGTTTGGAGTTATTGAAGAAAATGTGATATGGGGGTAGTTCCGAATTTGAAGTCATTGCTGGAAAATATGATTTTAATACGTGAAATTATATCTATAAATACAGCACTAAAAATAACAGTACACATGAAGTACATGAATGATTGTGTCCAGAAATGTCTGCATTTTGTCATCATTGCTCTTTCTTCCCGCATTCTAGTGCTGTTTGGATGAATATATTTATTAATGTATTTCCAACTAAAATATATCACATTTTTTTTATAAACCACAAACATTTAGATCATAAAACAATCATTCAATACTTGAGTGAGCACGGTATGCAAGGGTTACTAAGTTGACACAGTAAATGACCACTGACATTGTGTTAGTCCATGCACACAGCGTATTCTGCTAATACACATTTGCCTTGAACACCCCTAAATTTCATAGTGAAGTGATCGTCTGACTAATTGGTTTATGTTTACGTTTTAATGTGTTTTGTGTTCCTTGTTACAGCAAGGGGGGCCAGTAAAGTAGACTAACATGTTTGCATGGCAAATTTTGATCGAATATGTGAGACACTTTAAGCCGAAGACCGTTTCCTAAAATTATCACCCGATGCTCCGCATTTCGTGCAAATTCGGGAAAGCAACACCTTCAAAGAATTGTAATTCCACATTATATTGAGTTCAGGCCATTTATTGTAGGTTATTTGTTTGGCATCATGATCCTTTCACCGTTTCAATATAGGTAATGCCTGGGTCACATCGATCCATCGGCCGGCGCCCGGCCGATTGAGTGTTTTGTTCAATATTGATTCAATTTTGAACAAAATACTCAATCTGCCGGACGCCTTGGTCACGTTGTTCCGATTTTCGCTACTGTGCCCGACCGATTGGTTATTTTGTTCAAAATTGAATACAATATTGAACAAAACACTCAATCGGCCGGACGCCGGCCGATGGATCGGAGCAAATGTGACCCAGGCATTACTGAACTTGACTTTTTAACGTTCATATCGAAATATTTCTAAAATATCACGTTCCTCGTCCAAGCATCCTTCATGCCAAACCACTCCAAATTGAAGTTCAGACATTGGTCATTGTCAATTTTTCCAATATCATCAAATTGATTCATCATGATTTACAAATACAAAATTGATCTATAAAATGGACATAAATTTGATATTGTGTAATGAAAGCAATTAAAAATGACTAATTAATTCACAGAATTAATTTGAATTATTTTCGAAATTCGAAGAGCCCTCTTATAATAGTAATGAATAAAAATAAAGAAAAGCTTAAAAAAGCTATAGGAGGCATTTTCCAGATAGTGATAAATAATTCGAGCCTTCGAGCCGTCGATCATTAAAGAAGATGAAGTAGTAAAAGGCTATCTAAAGGAATCTGTCGAAAATATACATTTCATTAAATAATATCACCTTACACAATGCAACAGAAAAAATATTACATTTATAAAGTTTAATAGGACCATAAAGCATATAAAATATGTATATCCAACGTGAAAGTATTTACTAATGAATATTAAGAAATCTGCATAATTGTCTTGTACAATTTTGCGAGTCTTGAAACTTTAATCATTAATTCCGCACGACAGACTTGCATCCTAAAAGTGCATGATATTTTGCTAACCAAAGCAGGTCTTGCAGATCTGTAAACCTAAGAATAACATCACGGTCCTGCACGACAGTTGCTTGCGTATATTCAAACTGCACGATGATCTTACGAATCCACTGCAGTAGTCTTGAATATCTTTAAACTTCTTTACAATAATCATACGATTCCGCACGACAGTCTTGTGTATCTTCAAACTGCACCATAATCTTGCGAATGCACACGGTAGTGTTGCATTTCTTTGAACTTTATAATAATCTTACAATTCTGCTCGACATTCTTGCGTACCTTCACGACGATCTCTTAAATCGACAGAGGTTTTGCGGATCTTTAGACTTAACCATAATCTAACGACCCTGCACAAATCCTGCGTATATATCCTTGAACTGCACGACATTCTTGCAAATCTGCGTGAGTCTTGCATATTTTAAAACTACTCGACAATCTTGCGAACCCGCACAATACTCTTGCAGATCTTTGAACTTACGATTCTGCGCGACAGTCTTACGCATCATCTCATCTACATGATAGCCTTGCATACACATAAACTTCACAATATTAATAATCTTGCATATCGATGCTCAAAAATCCTAACTTAATTTGCTGTTTACCATTCAATATGTACGGCCATGTGTGTCGTGTAGAAATGCAAACTTTGGCAACTCAAATACAAGTTGACTGATTTCCTGTGGGTTGTTTTAAACTTGGAGATATAATAGACATTTTCAAGATACGACTGAATTCTACTTGCTCCTCCTGGAATTGCTGTTTTTCTAGTTCAATTAGTACTTCATACAATAAATGTTAATGGCTTGTTATTCTAGCAGTTAGTTTACATTAATTCGACAGTGTATTTACATAAATAATTGTTTTAACCTTTTCCTGAATGATTTTCCAATCATGAAGTATATTACAAAATTAAACGACGAATTGCACACCAGAAAAAAGTTTGATATTGATATTAATAGGTTGTTAAAATATGAGAATTTTATAACATCATAACGTATCAGCGTGTTCACGAAATAAGAAATTATATTGGTTATTGAGCATATTATAAATAATGACACGATTGCAATCATAACAAGGACATGATTTCTTTCCTCGATTTCCCTATTTGTCAGCTCTTTACGTTTAGATTGAGAGCTTATGATGGACTGAACTAGCCTTACATTAAGGATAAAAACGGTTACAACAGGCCCACAGTACCTAAACATTGCATTTAAAATCACATCATATATTACATTATAGCTTGGCGTACAACCTAATAAGCAAGTTCCCCCAGGCCATTCAAAGATTCTAGGTATATTATAGAGGCATGCTCCAACTGCTAAAATTCCAACAGTCCATTTCATTCGTTTGACGGTTAACAATGTTTTCGCACGGAGTGGCTTCGTTAGGTGTATGTATCGGTCAATGGTTACCAAGACAACCATCCAAGTTGTAAGCGTCGATGCTGTTGAAACAATTGGTAACTGTACATTATAGTAAAATATGTGATTTATAAAATCTCCCAGGTGATTATATATTATCATATAAGAAAGCGCCAGTAGAAGATATGCCGAGTCTGTTATTGTAAGCGTCTTCAGAAGAAATACTCTTGTGTTTGAAACGCTCTCCTTTGTAAGCACCAAGAAGGCCAATGTATTCCCAATCAGTCCAAGTCCTATTACAATATATGATAATACTTTGTTAAGTACAAATATAATGATATCCAAATAACGTTGATCCTTATACGAATTGGTTGAATATTGTTGCTGTGAATCATTTATGGAACTTAAATTAACATTTTCAGAAGTTCCAGAATTTGTAAATATGGTTGAGCTTTTGTTGAATGTTATATTTTCCATTTTTTGTTAGTCGGTCATCTTTTAGTTCAGAAATAACCAGTAAGCTTCTATCATCTGCTGCAAAATGTAAACAAATCCCACATCGCTGACTATCAGTAAGCTTTTTTCACTAAAGAGGTTCATTGGTTAGGTTTTCACAGACTGATTAATTGTTCCTACTATACAATTCCCGAAAACACTTACATTATTGACATTTCGGCAGCCTACGGATGCCATCTCCAGAACTCTTAATCGACTTTCGGTTCTTGAGCACGGGTTTCCAGCAGTTATCAAGTTGGAAATTAGCTTGGTCCATATTCATGTTTACCGTTTCTTTGATAAAGAATGCTTCCTCGACCCTGTCCATTACTAGCTGAGCTACAATAGAGAGCTTTCGATATAAGTTTTCGTCCAAACTTAAAATACAACGTTAACTTTTAAACGATTTAAACGTCACTGGCGAGGAAGGTTTCCCAAAGAAACCAGGAAAGTACATTTCATTCCTAATCGAGGGAATTGAGTTATTAATATACCAGCAATGCCAGCATTAGATTCTAGGTTGCAATCACATTTTGAAACCAGAACCCACGAACTAAATACTTGCCGAATATTTTGTTGTGATTTGGAGAAATTGAAGGTGTACCCAGGGGTAAAGCAAGTGTTCTTAAACGTGCACCTCTTGATAAAAAGTAATCGTGTGTTATTCCATGATTATCAGTAGTTGGAATGGCTTAGTGGGAGAATACTTTTCTTGTTGCACCTGTGATTCAAATCCTGCGTCATTCTTTTTATCACTTTTTACTCAATGGCTGACATTTTCCAGCAAAAAACTTTATAACCACATCAACTATATAATAAAGCATTAATAATCTTCTCAGTAATATGAAAATGTAAAAATAATGTATGTCCAAATATTGCCTTTTATGGAGAGGTCGGTCTTTAAACCTTGAATTTGATACCTAAAAGAAAGAGACATTGCAGTCGTAATACGAATTGTCATTCGGATGCATTCTAACCCGTACCTGCAGTTAGTTGTCAATGACCCGACTGCATTTCTCAAAAGGTATAGCCTGAATGACACAGATAATTAATCTCCTGTTTGAGGTCTGTAATTGTTGTGAGGTCATTCTCGAACACTATCTTTGGCTTTATCTCACAGCAGGTAGAAGTCAGGTAGGGACGATTGGGACGACGTGCACAGGTTTGCAATTGCCTGTAATGCAGTTGGCCGCTGGGGCATTTTGTTCAAAGTGCTGTAACATTGTGACTATCCGTTCGATCATCATGTATAAGCTTAGTAGGCTGGTAGAAAATTGTATGATATACATGTACATGTACAAATGAACCAAATACCATAGAGCAATTCCCTAGATTTGAGGAAAATAGCGTTCCGTTTTTTAGCATCCTGTATTTGATACTATGACGTAATGGTATGTAAATAAAAATGACTCGGAAATAGAAATCCAGAAAATTCAGAAAATATCATCATTGAACTTTACACAATAGAATATCAATACGGAAAAATGTTTTTCTAAGTTGCTATTGCACACTCCTATGTCTTAATGCATAACAAAGAAATAAATGAAGAGGAAACGGTTTTGTCAATAAATAAATAAATAAATAAATAGATAAATAAATAATTTAATTAATTAAATGTTGAATCTATATTTTCAGGTTACACCCCAAGAGAGTGCCGGTGATAATACGTCATCATGCAGCCGTTGGAAGAGTGACGTACGATGAAGCCATCGCTGGGCAATACAAACCTGCCAGTGTAGGCGATATTTTTGGCCCAACGTGAGTTTTTAGTTCAATGCGAGTTCTTAGTACAAGTATCGCCTAAGTACAAGTAATTGTCTCATTTTGGTTATTGGAGGCACTTTGAATGATTCGGGGTATCCCCTGCCAAAGGAGAAACTATGATAGGGCCTTACACCCGGGGGTTCTCTGTATATAAACCTTGACGGGGAGCCTCGTCGCACATGGGGTACCTTTTTGACATTCGGTATGGCAATGGATCCAAATTTTAGAATCTGGTATGAAAAATTCCCACTCATTATGACTACTGAGGTATGGCAATGGTCAGATTTTTCAACTTTCTGGTATGAGAATTGTCTTGGGAAATAAGTAACCTCACACCTGTGGTATTGAATTAGTCTAGTAGATACACATATCCTAATTTGAGGTTATTTTGGAACGCTTTCCTCGAAGATCGCCTTCTTCTTGCGACTTTCTTCAGTTTAAATATTAGCTTTTTTCTCGGAAAATATTTTTATTTGGACCAGTTATAGCATTAATGACATTGGCCCTATATTTAGACATTTGATATGGCATTGGTCTTATATTTGGAGATTTAGTATGGCTCTTGGGCATTATATTGGCTGATATGGGAACGCATCCAAATTTGAAAATTGGTATGGTAATATATTGATATCTGAGCCTTCAGCCTAGAACCCCGCCCAATTTTTTACACAGTGAACCCCCGATACATCAACTCGTAAAATATACTCAAAATGTTTCTTAACCATTCAAAACACCATGATTTCCATGATTTATAGGTTCCTCTTTCCAAAAGCCTTTCAGAACAAATAGCAAGATTTTCATTTAAATTCAATTGGAGCTACATGTACATGTTTACAAGCGATTTGTAATAGACCTAGTATCTATTTAAGAAAGTTAGAGCATATAGTGCATTACTTCTGGGACAACCCCCGTACCATACTGTTCATTGTTTTTTTCAGTTGGTCTACTCATTGGTTTAAACTTGATATTACTATTCCAAAGGACTGGGAGGGGAAGGAGATTTGGTTGCTATGGAACAGTCAAAGCGAGGCTATGGTTTGGAAAGATGGCAAGCCAATCCAGGTATTCAGTAAAAACATAACATCTAATAGCTTAAAAAACAATCACATACCTCGCGGCCCATGTACGTGTATATCGAGAATTGAGGAACAATGATATGTATACTAGAATAGTAGATCTGATCGGTATATACCGAATCATATACCTTGAATTTGAAATCATCGTGTAATCTGCTCGTATGTGCACAAAATGTAATTTTCTGGATTGTGTTCTCGGAAGAAAATCGAAATATGTTGTGAATAAAACTAAGATTTTTTTAATAAGAGTATAATTAACAGTAGGGTTTCTTTGTTTATAAGTTTATTTACAATCTAAAAATTCTGTACCAGTTCGAATTATATCATATCACCTGATGATGAAACGGTTTACCATCGAACAGTGCAGGACCATTTACTATAAAACAAAAAACATAAGTCTGAAGTAATGCTAGATTTTTATCATGCATTTTTCGATGAGCTCTATTTTCCATGTTTTTTTTATTTATATTACTATTATGTACAGCTCTATCAAATAAACAGCGCGTATTTCATAATTCACATTTACATAATATTTAAATTGTGAATTTTTTTCTCTCGACAGGGTCTTTCAGCATGTCCAGATGATTACTTACGGACGGATTTTATCCTTACGAGAAGTGCTGCGAAAAATGAATTCAAGTATGTTTATACGGTGCTTCGTTGTGTGGTAGTATGAAGGCGATTCTAACGTGCATACATGTCCATACATCCATACATGTTCTTGCATATTATAATAATAATGTACTCTCCAATATATTAAGGAGGCAATGAAGATACACAAACATATTCAGGGTGGTCCATAAGTTCCAGGAACGAGTCTGGCATTTCATTAATATTTGGATAATGTGCTTGATATTTGGCCAGAATGTGTCCAAACTATCTGCTGACCATCTTGCAAAAATTCATGGTGATCCATGCATAACTGCTGTTAAACTGGTTACCATGGTAACGTGACCACGTGGTATGCGGGGCACTATTTTAATGTTGCATTTTTTATTTTTTTGATGTGACACCACTTCTTGCAAAAACCACACACTTCACTCCCAGCAACCTACTTGTTATGTTGATAATCAAAATATATCCATAACAATGACTAATGACATCATTGATGACATCACAACTGTCAATGGGGTTATATTGTGGGTTCAGGTCACTGTCTTGTGTGATGTCATAATTAAAAAAACTTGCTATCAAAAAAAATATTATATTATTTGTACTATCATATATTAAAAATCTTCATGTTATTGTCTAACACATTGTGAAACGTTCAGTTTTTCTTTCAGTAAGCATTTTTTTCTTTCGGTAAACATTTTTAGATAGTAGTGAAACTCACGGATCCTGGACGATCTGAATCATAATATCTCACCGCACATATGCGGAAAACACTCATGTATGTCATGTACATAGATTAAATATATATTATTAAAGATGTCAGGTCCATATGTCCAAGAAAAAACAAACGCTCAGAATAAAGCTGAATTCGGTGTGATATAGAAAATGATTTTCTGTTGGTAATCAAATTTCAACGCCCGTCTCATTTTCAGACAAACTCTGTACATAGAAATGGCCTGCAATGGTCTATTTGGTGCTGGATTGCGGCACATTATACGACCTCCCGATCTTCACAAAAAGTTTGCGCTGACACAAGCAGAAATAGCTATCGTAGATCCGATGGTTTATGACCTGCTTGTTGATATGGAAGTCATGCTTGGATTGGCAAAGGTGGGCCTGTTTTGCATTATAAAGACCTAGAATCCGGGAATTGTTGAATTAGGGTGACAAAACGGAATATGAAATAATAAATAGTAATCGTTATAGTAATAGTAATTATTTAAGAACAAATGGGGTATCTAAGAATTATTTTTTAAAAGAAAGATGGCGTTATCGATAGACACACAGGCCAATAATGAATGAATCTATTCACCATGTAGTGTTTGACAATGGAAAATTGAATTACTTCACTATATTCATGTAGCTCTGAATGCCTAACGATTTTTGATTGTTATTCACGGTGGGCCCACGGGAGAGTCTAAATTATTTTAAAATCGATTTCATTGTACTGGAACTCCTGTATTTTCAGCACCTCCCAGAGCAGAGCCACCGGGCCTACGAAGCGATGTTAGCGGCAAATGAAATGATCAACATAATCGAAATTGGTGAACCTAAAACTTATGAAAGGTGAATGAAGTTACACAGGTGTCTAATATTAAAAATAGTGAATCCAAAAAGTTGACCAATTAATATAAGGAAAGACACGAGGGCAACAATTGAGAAAATCACAAATGACAAGATAACAGAAATTGATAATGTGCCCTAAAAATACACGAGCAGTAATCAAATGTGCAAAGCAAATGTTAGTGAGTTTAAGCTAGCAATGTTTCTCACAACCTAAACGTGAACGGAAAATGTTTAAGCGATGCATTTGTATGGGCGATGGGTCATACGTATCGGCGTTTCGATTTATATGCAAACTTAAACTCCCTATTAAAACAACCATCTAACATCCCAACATAACGTCGACGTCAGAAAATGTTCGGAAAATGTGAATTGGAAACATTTTTTTTCATTGCAGAGCAAAAGAGAAAGGAGCATCTTTCTTTGCAAAAGGAAATGGTGATAGTCAAATAACCATCCATGCCGTTGGCCATAGTCACATAGACAGTGGTAAGGTAACATTTAGGGTCGGACTGACATTTTTGTAGAAAAGGTTTTTAAGTTATAACCGCCATGTACTTAAAACACGTCTTCAAAATTGTTACGGTGAACTCTTCAGTCGCAACGTCAAATAATGACGCTGTACTTCTAAAATCGTGTTGATTGGTCAGATATTAAACACTCCTCAAAATGATCAGCCAATCAGCCAGTCAACAGAGCTGGATTTATCTTATGACTCTCACGTGATAACAGCCATATTGGCAATATCTGATTACTGAAATTCAAAATTAAGCACACTATTTTTCGTCATTCAGAACTTCATCGTGAGTGTTTGTCTTATTGCTGTATATATACATGTAAACAGGTTTTTAAACTTCATTATTGTAACGTCACCCTCAATTGAAGTTGAGTGGCGAAGTCTCGCGAATTGTACTAGATCCAAGTACCTTTCCCGAAGAATCTCGTAATCAATCACGAGTGAACAATGTCCATATAATGAGAAAAGCAATATCCAAGGAATTTTCGTTCAGGCAAACAAAGGCAGATATGAAGATATTATTAAATGTTTCTAACGAGGAATTTCTTCTGACTTCTCTAAATTTATCGTAACTTAATTGATATATTTTTATTAATTTTCCTGGCTAATATGACTAATATAATATGGATTCTGACATTCTGTTTAAATTGAATGTTTTTTTTAAAACCACTGATATTTGAGTGACAACAGAACCTTTTTGATAGGACCACCTACCCGTTTACACCGGGAAGGGAAAGGAGAGTCCATATTCGAAAAGTAACATGTGACTCAATGAGGATTGCATCAAAATGGCGAAAGTACTTAATCCCTGCCAAAATACATAATACGTATCAACGATGGGTCACATTTGCTCTTATCCATCGGCCGGCGCCCGCCCGATTGAGTGTTTTGTTAAATATTGTATTCAATTTTGAACAAAATACTCAATCGGCCTGGCGCCATAGTGAAAATCGTAGCAATTGTGACCCAGGCATTATACAGTATTTATTTGTATTATTAGCTTGGTTGTGGTCCTATGCAGAAACAAAAAGGAAATGCGCAAGAAGTTGGAGTTCATCATTGCTCATGATGAAAGACTATCCTGACTTCACTTTTGCCTGTTCACAGGTAATATGTTAATCAAATAGGGAGTTTAAGATACACGTTTCATAGAAAACGTGTACGCTAACGTGTTATATTATAGGTAAAGGGTGCAGGAATTCCTACTCCCCTTTCAACTTGTCGTTTCACTCATATGGTATCTTTATACTAAATCTGACAGTACGAGAAGAGAGAGAGAGAGAGAGAGAGAACTTATCCATAGAGCCTAATTCTTCACGTACACGTTTTTATAAAAATGTGTAGCTTTGCCTCCCATAAATTTCATTCTTCGTGTGCGATGACAGTTTCATTTCCATAATTTGTAAATGTTAAATTAACCTCTTGAATCCCAGACTCTAAAATCGGTTGAAACCAGAGAACTTTTCATTTTTGCCACCTTTTGACATTTTACTATATACGTATAGAATTTTAGATGCTCAACTTAGTAAAATTAGTCGACAGAGATAATTTCTACACATTTTAAAACAATTTTTGTGTAAATTGGTCGAAAATTGTTCAAATAAGAGCAATTTTAGTGAAAAAATTGTGACGGATTTTCTCGTCACTCTGGGTTTCAAGGTCATTTCTGAGGTGACGAGAAATCTCGTCAGTCCAGGTAGTCAAGAGATTAAGGTTGGTGACAAATAAGATTCGAATAACAAATCGCAATACTTAAAGGAAGAGGTGCGATGATTGAATTATAACCCTAATAAGGCCTATACATCAATACATTACAATAATTGAATACACTCACAAACATATACCCCGGTCCCCGAAGTAGACATATTGTGATTGAATGTAAATGTGATCTTTATTTTGTATTTTTCTTATGTTGTTCTTTTGTATATTTAATAAAAGGCCCAGCAGTATCAATGGATGAAGGAAGACTACCCTTCGATATATGATGACATCAAGACATATGTAGCAAGGGGTCAGTTTATCCCTGTTGGCGGTACATGGGTCGAAATGGTGAGAATATTATATATATTTAATAATCGACACTTTTATTGAAATGGTGCGTCCGATTTGCGACAGCATTGATGCAATTGGCGTACGGAAAAGCCATATTTTACTGTATTTTCAGGATGGGAATCTTCCTTCGGGGGAAAGTTTTGTGAGACAGTTCCTTTACGGACAAAGGTATTTTCGTCAGGAATTCGACGTCACTTGTCGCGAGGTTAGTTCTTACATCAACGTCCACACATTTTCATACATGCTAGTTTGTCTTCATTTCCTCGTAGTATGAACTTTAAGAGCTTTGGAACCAAATGCTAAATGCCATCTTGTACGCAATACACCACCTATTTTGAATTTGTGGAAATGGTATTTTATCGTCCATTTGCCCTAACATCGTTTTGGTTGCCCTTTCCTGTTCAATAAAATTTCTGTATAATGAGAGATGCAATGTTCTTGATATGAGTCATTTTTTAAACCCTATGAAGTGGAAATCCCACGGGCACCAGTGGCGGATCCAGGAACCAACTAGGGGGGGGGGGCAAATTTTCGGTCAGAGAAAAAAGTTTTGGGCCCCTAAAACCGAAAAGTGGGCCCAAATTTTGAAATTTTGAGGCCCATTTTCTTCAAAATTTGGCCTGAAATAAAATAGTAAGGCCTTAGAAGACTTAGTAATGACCAATAAGGCCCAGTTTTTGGCCTTATGGACACGATATGGCCTTAATTTTTTTCTGGGCCCAACTTAGGGGGGCAGGCCCCATGCCCCCCCCCCGGATCCGCCACTGAGCACCAAATGATGTCATGTAAAAGAGCTGTACAGTATCACATTAAAGACAATTATTTTAAAATATCATAAAGGTGTTCTTAGTATATGCATTTCTTCACTAATAATGGCCCAATTTAGTTATAAGTCAGCACAAAATACTGGAAATTGAATAACCTTTCCAATGACACCTAATACATCCTCATATGATGGTCAGTTTTCGAGATCATGGGGGGCAGATCTGCCCCTTCCCCTAACAGTTGGTGTAATTCTCTATAGGCTTACCATTTAAAGGTTAAATCTCTCGCTCGCTGGGTATATATATGTTTGTATTTAGTTCTGGTTGCCCGACACGTTCGGATACGCACCCCAACTCCCGCAGATCATGAGCCAATCAGGGATCAGCAGATTTATTACGCAGAAAATGTCATGGAACAAGAACAAGTTTCCGGTAAATGTGGCACTTTTCTACAGTTTAGGTGCTTTTAACAGCTGCAGACATTGAGCATGTATTCGCAAATGCAAATAACGGATTGTTCGTTAAATCACCTTCAAAATAGCTTGTTTATTATGAATAGTTTAATTCGGTAGCCGCAAGCCGTTAGTTGCAATCGCGAAAAGAAGCTGAGTGTTAACGTTAATTTAGGTATCGTAGCTGTAGTCTATGTCAAATTCATTTGATTAATTATTATTTCATATTAATATATCTAAAAATTATCGAACGTTTTAGTTTAATTTTGAAATTATTATGTATCATTGTTTAAATGTTTACACTGGTAATATTAACAAATTGATGTAATATTGTATACACATGACCTATATAATCTAGCAATTATCGTTATAGTAATAAGTACTCTCTATTGACCACTCATAAGTGATCTATTTTGACTAAATTAAATTATAATTGAACATTTTGGAATAAGTTCACGAATAAGAATTGAATAGAAATATGTTCTGCTTAGAGCACGTCATTGAAACGTTATATCTAATGACGTCATTATGCCTTTGAGTACAACGACGTGCTTTCCTAGAAATGGCCATACAATCTATAGACCACGCAGTTATCCTCTCGATGCCCTTAATTTATAAAGCACATTTTGTAGTGAGGTTAAGCTACACTTAAAAAAACATGGTCTTGGGATAAGTTCTCCACATAGTAGTATTCATTTGCCGATTGAGTATAATGCATGCATATGGTATAAGGAAACTATAGTTGTAATGAGGTCCCAAAAATCAGTTTATCGGGAGGAAGGGGGTAGTAATTATCCCGATGATCATCTAAAATTTACTTGCTCGTTTGAGTATATAAATAAAAGCAAAAAAGTTGTAATTAAGTCCCTGGAAAAATCAGTTGAGATTGGGGTGGGGGCAATATGCCTCATTCCGGGATGTCAATGTTACATGTTCAAACGTAACTATATACAAGTTCCTTTTAAATCATGGAGCTGACCAACCCTATTATTTAAAGCCAAATAAAACACTTTTCAGCATCATACATTCCACTGGGAAGGTCTAGACGGTACAAAAGTCCTAACCCACTTTCCCCCAGGAGACAACTATGGCATGAAAGGAGACGTCGATGAAGTACGGTATTTTATTTTATATACAGTATGATACGCCTTAAGCTACTTGATATCACGGCACTACGTTAAATTACGTTAAATCGGTTTTCAGTGGGAGAAATGTTACACGGTCATTTAACCATCTGAAACCATATACAAAACATGGACACTTCGTATATATATCCACGATAAAGAATTATCAAAACTCATCAAAACACAAGTAAACGTACTTGAGAAATAATTTTATTTATTAAAGGGTATATAATATTGCAAAACTTTAACGTTATATTTGTTTATTGTAGGTAATGAAAACACTTAATAACTGTGAAGACAAGGGCAGAATCGACAATCTATTGTTTCTTTACGGCTATGGAGATGGGGGAGGTGGACCAAAGTAGGTTAAGGCCAAGTGCCCCGGGGAAAACGTTACAAGAGGGGTAGCGACTCTTCGACCGCAACCAAAGATGGCTGAAGATTAAACCTTAACCACCTTTGGCAATTTAATTGGTTCCTTGAAGCATTTCGGCAATCTTCGTGATATAAACATCTTCGACAACCAAAGATGGCTGAAGATTAAACCTTAACCACCTTTGGCAATTTAATTGGTTCCTTGAAGCATTTCGGCAATCTTCGTGATATAAACATCTTCGACAACCAAAGATGGCTGAAGATTAAACCTTAACCACCTTTGGCAATTTGATTGGTTCTTTGAAGCATTTCGGCAATCTTCGTGATATAAACATCTTCGACAACCAAAGATGGCTGAAGATTAAACCTTAACCACCTTTGGCAATTTAATTGGTTCCTTGAAGCATTTCGGCAATCTTCGTGATATAAACATCTTCGACAACCAAAGATGGCTGAAGATTAAACCTTAACCACCTTTGGCAATTTGATTGGTTCTTTGAAGCATTTCGGCAATCTTCGTGATATAAACATCTTCGACAACCAAAGATGGCTGAAGATTAAACCTTAACCACCTTTGGCAATTTAATTGGTTCCTTGAAGCATTTCGGCAATCTTCGTGATAATAACATCTTCGACAACCAAAGATGGCTGAAGATCTTTCAGGAATATTGTTTCCTTGAAGCATCTTCGGCCATCTTCGTGATAATAATAACATCTTCGGCCACCTTCGTAAAATAAATGTATGTGGTAGCGATGCATAGTTATAAAAGTGCCTTTGTGTATACCGAGTTGTTAAAATGAAGTATACACATCTATCATATAATTCAATGATCATAAAAAGATGAACGAATTATCAAGAACGTAACACAATAAGAAATAGTAAGTGTAATACAAATGCGGGCAGATATGATATATCCATCCCGCTCCCGAGAATTTTTCAATATAATTGTTATTTTTGGTGAAGTGTAATGATGCATTCTTCAGACGAAAAATTGAAAAATAAATCTGAAAAGTCGAGTGAAATTCTGTAAAAACATGGATAAATGACAGTAATTTGAGTCCTTTCGGTCGCCCGGGGAGATATAAATATATCCCTCAGGATATACCTTATATCCAAAACCTCCCAGTACATAACCCTTATTTATCCATAAGAAAAGTTCACATTTTGATGGTCTAAAATGAGGATTCGGGGATAACTAAAGTTTGCATTGCTCCATTTTACCAGGGACTTTTAATGTTTGATTTCGATCTTGTGATTGTCATTTAAGCAAAGTTGGTATAGAATTGGGATTATTTTGGAAATTTTCATTTTGACTACATTGACCTATATTCTTTATTTACTACGTATGTACCAATGAAATTATATATATTCTAATTCTAGCCCACACATGGTGGAAAAGCTGAAAAGAATGCATAACACTGATGGTTGTCCAAGGTGAGTAACGCATTAATTAAATAAACCCGTTTTAAAAGCAAAAATAATTATTTGAATCTCTGCATAAATATAGACATTTCACAAAATCACCTGTAACTCATACTTTTAAAGTGACACTCGCACTTATATTTATATTTATTTTATAACTTACGATTGGAGTTTTAGAATTTGAATTTTACAAATATACAAGCTCTTGCTCTAAGCACCTGAAGTGTAGTTCAATTAATCAAAGGGGTCACCCTGTATGTCATGACTTCAATTGAATACTCCGTTTCATAAACACATGTACGTAGGCAATAGATTACAGGTGAGATTACACAATCTATAAAGTGTACTTTTAGATATCAACGTACCAAAACGGAAAATGGTCGAATTCTAACCCTCCTAAAATTATATTAGTTCCTTGAAGAATCTTCAGCCATCTTCGTACAACGGTAACGGTTGTTTCGATTCTCTCTTTCGATTCTCTTTCGTTTGCTTTCAGGGTGAAGTTCTCATCGCCAGATGCAATGATGTCTCTCATAGAGGAACACGAATCACCCAAATTATGTAAATGGGTTGGAGAACTGTATTTTGAGACACACCAGGGTACCTATACAACACAGTCTCAGGTGGGTTGTATTGAAGTATGTACAACAACATGGTCAAGGTCGATGAGTCACGTGCCTATAGAACACGTTGTAACAAGGAATCCCCCAAATGAGACTATGTCGGACGCCGGCCGATGGATCGGAGCAAATGTGACCCAGGCATTACTTATATGAGAAAATTAGATGCGTTTGAAAATGCGTTTTTGATGTTCAATAAGATATCAACAATCCGTTAATTTTTGTTGATACATGCACTATTTTGGAAATGTCCACTTATGGGTGCTGTGTGCTACTATATGTAAAGTATTTATGACGAGGTTCAATCACGAGTTAACTGGAGGAAACACGCCTCTTACAACGTATAGTTAATAATAATAGTATAGTTAAATATACAATAATACAGGGTGTTCCAAAAGTAACAAGACTGGTGCTGGCATTTTGTTAAATATGCATCAATCGTCTTCAAAATTTTACATAATGTATTTTCATGTATCGTTACTAAAACTGCAAAGTTTCGACAAAAACTATGTAACTTGGGTAGAGTTATGGTTGCTATGGTAACATAACATCACAATACCCGGGGCAACATTCCACGCAGAAAGTTACATTAAGACAGAAAGAGACAATAAGCATTTTGTACATCCCATATCAAAGTTAAAATGCAACAACTGGTGGGAATTACATTTGTTTTACATAATTTGATATTCCTATGTATCCTATGTACTTTGAAAAATAGGCTCCTATTTGGTCAGTAGAAGAGTAACACTCTGTATCCATGACACATGAGTGAACCCATTTGAGAACATGTCACGCATGGTCGATTGAACAACTTGGAGAAGGTCATTCTCATCTTTAAAGATCTTACATCACTGATTAGCATTCCATTCCCCATGTAAGTAAAAATTGGATATTGCATGATCAGAAGAGTATGGTACATTTTTTTTAGAACTCAAGACCTAGCTTCTCTATAGCTGCATGGTCTTTAATGGTGACCTGCGGGCAGGCGCCTTATCAAGGTGGATGACTGGCTTCAAATTGGGTCTTTTCAAATACTCAACCACAAATTGTTCAGACTGTAATTCATAGTGATATTCCAGGAAATTGAATAAATATTATTATAATGAAATTAGACTTGAATCTGAGTTTTATAGCAACACCTTTACAACAAAGCAACTAATAAAATAAATAAGAAATGTTGTATTATAATAGGTGAAATGGATACTTCCTTCAGTAATACAAAAATGTTAGATATCACATTTTCAGAAAAAAGTTGCCCCGGGTATTGTGATGTCATGTTGCTATAGTAACCACAACTCTAGCCGCATTTCATCATTTTTTCTGAAACTATACAATTTTAGTTGCAATACTTCAAAGTACGATTTGTAAAAATTTGAAGACACTAGGTGCAAAATTGACAAAATACCAGCACCAGTCCTGTTACTTTTGGAACACCCTGTATATATGTTATTTAATTAACTTTGTAGAATTTCATCAAATGAGCTGTTGCATCTATCCCATGTATCAATTATTTTAAAAAGTACCGACGATTTTGGGATACATGAGCATCATGAATATTGTATTTCGATTATTTGATAAGTTCAGTGCAAATAGTTTCTCTTCTTAAATGTCATGTTGAACGAAATGTTCATATTTTTAGCTTCAGGGGAATACCAAGAAATATCCTGTGTCATTTGAGCAAAGAAAAACGTCATGTCTTGTAATTTTAGATTAAACGTGAAAACAGGAAGGGTGAGGTCCTTTTCCATAACCTCGAGTTTATTTCCACGTTGGCACTTCGCACACAGTCATCATCCTCGCTGAAATCGAACGCCTACGTATATCCTGCTGACGATATAGAACGTATGTGGAAGCTATTCTTGTTAAACCAGTTTCACGATGTCCTTCCGGGGAGTTCGATAAACGAGGTACGACATATTTAAAGTTTCTTGACCGAACATTGAAACTGTCGATGTATCTCATTTGAAAATATAGATTAGTTAACATGTTATTAGTCTTTTAAAAGATGCTCTGCCTTGTATACCTTTGTCAGTTATATTTATTTGATATTTAATCTTGGATTCGTTGAATAATCATTGCACCCATGTTTTGCATGTGATTGTAAAATAATAGGTCTGTTTGTCTCAGGTTATCCTACTTTGACCTTGATTCTCTGTAATTCTACACATTTGTTTCAAAACAACAACATTTATACAGTCAACTGATGTAAGGCAGATCTACATGATGCGTTCTGCAATTTTGAAAATAAGATCGCTCAGTTATTTACTTTTTAAAGAAAAATTAAAACTCGATTTATAATCTGAGTTCACTAAAGCACATTTTATGAAAAATGAAAGATTTCGACCCTGTTTGAAATAAGTTTTCTTCAACTGAAAAAATCACATGGTCAACAAAATGGTAGAAAGTTCAGTCTGATCTTAATCTTACACTTTTATATATTTCATATATGCGAGCATAAAACATAATTGTATTCTCTCTTTCAGACAATGCAATACATATTCAGTACAATGCAATACTATAAATCTCACTCCCATTTTATTTGTACGTTTTCAAAGTCATTATATTTCAGTTGTGTGTTTATTTTTACAGGTAAACAATGATGCAATCGTTTACTATAAAGGTCAGTAAATTTTCCAATTATGTACAAAAGCCAGTTTCTTAATACAAGTAAACAATTGTAATTTTGATTTTTTGGCCCTGGTGGCATTTTGCTGGTTTTGTATTTGCAAACAGATAAGCTCGCAGTTGAGCAACTTCCCATTCATTGGAGTTAAAAAGCATTTTTCAAAATGATATTGACAGAGAAAAATATATCTATATAAGAGTAGATCGGCAATATAACTATAAAGGTTATACTTTTAAAATGTTTTGTGAACAGATATGATGTATCTAATCATCTTTTCTAGAAATCCAGGAAAAGGGACAAGCTTTGCTGAATGGGGCAATCAGTGCTGTTTTTCAGGTAATATGCTTCTCCCCCGAATGCTAAAACATTTCGCCAGTTTAGAAAGTCGATAGCAAAATGTCTGACACATTCTGATTCTAACCATTTCCATCTATTTCATAATGATTCTAAGGCTGCATATATTTGCAATATTTGTGTATTTTGGGGTTGCTAGGATGGCAAAGGACCGCTTGTTAACATAGCCCTAAATGGACTTGGATGGTCGAGAACGGAAGTTGTGGAGGTTGGCAGAAGTGACGAACCTAAAACCCCAAAGCAGAAGAGGAAAAAGATGAAAACGGAAGTTCCACAGACTGGTAGAAAATTGGGTAAGTAGGTACAGTGTATTAAAGATTTTATTCAATCCAGTAATCCAGTGATTTCGGTATACTAGATGGGCTACTATGTATGATCCAAACTAGCCCTAATTGAGTAAAAACGAATATGTTCACATTTCCGTAGCAGTTCGTTCGTTTCGTTGCTGCCATCTCTTCTGAAATTTTAATACACATTCTTACCAGGGTTTTTCACTGTTTTTCCTATCGTATGAGAAAACTTAGTGTAATGAGGCAACGTTCGTGAACTACGAGCTCAATACCCGGGAAAATGAAACATCTACAAGAAAGCACAACAGCACTGAACGAACTGTTCAGAAATTCTAATACAGCTGAGACTAACATATCACCCTTTGAATCAAATGATGTGCAGTATGTAAACTCCAAGAATGACAACATTTGCTTTATCAATTGTATCTCCAAATTATTTTAATATAGCATTGGTGACTGTCCCTGCATACGGAGCTGCCAAGGTAGATGAAGAAACTGGGACAGATGTAAAAGAAGACATTGCCTGTAATGCAACTGTTGATAAACAAACCGAAAGTATTGTGTTGCAAAATCGTCTCATTGAAGCCACCGTCGATAAGATTGGCAAGGTAGTCTCTCTGAAGATGAAATCAAATGGAAGGTACATTGAGAAGTTCTCAAAATAAATAAACTTTTTAATAAAATCTGCAACCTATTAATAAAGCAAAGAAGCTGTAACATATTGGCTAGATTGATGTCATAGGTTGTTGGAGGCAATTTGTCCAAGCAAAATAAGATTAACTTGCGCAGATTGCAAAGTTTGAAAAGGTACAACCAATGACGTAATCAATGTTGCCAATATATGATAGTTCGTTCGTGTTTCAAGTGTCAGGGTTTGTCAGAGATGTATATTGCAATTCTTTTCAAATCACACAATTATTGTCTCGTAGATGGAAAGGTACAATCAATAGAATAGGAGTTTGAATGAATGAATGAAACACTAGCGCTATACTCGCAAGAAGTGAATAGCTTTCGTAATTATTTGGTATTAGTAGGAGGGGATTGCCCTTAGCTTATATGTGGTCCTATAAGCCTTTTATGGATCAATCACATGTATACCACGTGACCCAATACCACCCCCACCGCAATATAAAACCAAGACGGTAAAGCTTGACGAATGTAAAGAATAAATGCTGACATATCCCTTTTTCCATATTTTCAACTTTCAAAATTGGCTTCGAAATCATCAAGTTGTACTTCCCGCCCATTCACCTTCGGTTGACATGTCAATGCTCTACAGTAGTTATACATTGACACAACTAGATCAATGTATCCTTACAGCTGGCCATGGGCTACCAAAATGCGAATTCCAACCTATTTGATTTCCTTATTTTATTACTTTTATTACATTTAGTTGTTTTCTTATACGAATCAGTATCCTTGGGTACAATTTCCAGACTAGAAATACGTGTTTTTGTTATTATGACGTAAGTTAATACTACTTAATTGCCATGTTGACGAACATGTATATATTACCACAAACACATAACTTGAGTACGTTTTTCAGAATTAGAAGTAAGTGAATTTATACTTTCACTTTAAGCAGCACTTTCGATGGAAAAACTGTTTTCAATAATTATAAATCATCTTCATTTCTATTTAAGAGAATGCATTGATGGCGGATGTGGGAACCAGTATGTTCTTTACATTAATGGTCCTGATATCTATTTTAGAGAATGCATTGATGGCGGGTGTGGGAACCAGTTTGTTCTTTACATTAATGGTCCCGATATCTATTTTAGAGAATGCCTTGATGGCGGGGGTGGGAACCAGTTTGTTCTTTACATTAATGATCGTGATATCTATTTTAGAGAATGCATTGATGGCGGGTGTGGAAACCAGTTTGTTCTTTACATTAATGATCGTGATATCTATTTTAGAGAATGCATTGATGGCGGGTGTGGGAACCAGTTTGTTCTTTACATTAATGATCATGATATCTATTTCAGAGAATGCATTGATGGCGGATGTGGAAACCAGTTTGTTCTTTACATTAATGATCGTGATATCTATTTCAGGGAATGCATTGATGGCGGATGTGGAAACCAGTTTGTTCTTTACATTAATGATCATGATATCTATTTTAGAGAATGCATTGATGGCGGGTGTGGGAACCAGTTTGTTCTTTACATTAATGATCATGATATCTATTTCAGAGAATGGATTGATGGCGGATGTGGAAACCAGTTTGTTCTTTACATTAATGATCGTGATATCTATTTCAGGGAATGCATTGATGGCGGATGTGGAAACCAGTTTGTTCTTTACATAATTGATCATGATATCTATTTTAGAGAATGCATTGATGGCGGGTGTGGGAACCAGTTTGTTCTTTACATTAATGATCATGATATCTATTTCAGAGAATGCATTGATGGCGGATGTGGAAACCAGTTTGTTCTTTACATTAATGATCGTGATATCTATTTCAGGGAATACATTGATGGCGGGTGTGGAAACCAGTTTGTTCTTCACATTAATGATCGTGATTTCTATTTCAGGGAATGCATTGATGGCGGGTGTGGAAACCAGTTTGTTCTTTACATTAATGAGCGTGATATCTATTTCAGGGAATGCATTGATGGCGGGTGTGGAAACCAGTTTGTTCTTTACATTAATGAGCGTGATATCTATTTCAGGGAATGCATTGATGGCGGGTGTGGAAACCAGTTTGTTCTTTACATTAATGAGCGTGATATCTATTTCAGGGAATGCATTGGTGGCGGGTGTGGAAACCAGTTTGTTCTTTACATCAATGAGCGTGATATCTATTTCAGGGAATGCATTGATGGCGGGTGTGGAAACCAGTTTGTTCTTTACATTAATGAGCGTGATATCTATTTCAGGGAATGCATTGATGGCGGGTGTGGAAACCAGTTTGTTCTTTACATTAATGAGCGTGATATCTATTTCAGGGAATGCATTGATGGCGGGTGTGGAAACCAGTTTGTTCTTTACATTAATGAGCGTGATATCTATTTCAGGGAATGCATTGATGGCGGGTGTGGAAACCAGTTTGTTCTTTACATTAATGAGCGTGATATCTATTTCAGGGAATGCATTGATGGCGGGTGTGGAAACCAGTTTGTTCTTTACATTAATGAGCGTGATATCTATTTCAGGGAATGCATTGATGGCGGATGTGGAAACCAGTTTGTTCTTTACATTAATGAGCGTGATATCTATTTCAGGGAATGCATTGATGGCGGGTGTGGAAACCAGTTTGTTCTTTACATTAATGAGCGTGATATCTATTTCAGGGAATGCATTGATGGCGGGTGTGGAAACCAGTTTGTTCTTTACATTAATGAGCGTGATATCTATTTCAGGGAATGCATTGATGGCGGGTGTGGAAACCAGTTTGTTCTTTACATTAATGAGCGTGATATCTATTTCAGGGAATGCATTGATGGCGGGTGTGGAAACCAGTTTGTTCTTTACATTAATGAGCGTGATATCTATTTCAGGGAATGCATTGATGGCGGGTGTGGAAACCAGTTTGTTCTTTACATTAATGAGCGTGATATCTATTTCAGGGAATGCATTGATGGCGGGTGTGGAAACCAGTTTGTTCTTTACATTAATGAGCGTGATATCTATTTCAGGGAATGCATTGATGGCGGGTGTGGAAACCAGTTTGTTCTTTACATTAATGAGCGTGATATCTATTTCAGGGAATGCATTGATGGCGGGTGTGGAAACCAGTTTGTTCTTTACATTAATGAGCGTGATATCTATTTCAGGGAATGCATTGATGGCGGGTGTGGAAACCAGTTTGTTCTTTACATTAATGAGCGTGATATCTATTTCAGGGAATGCATTGATGGCGGGTGTGGAAACCAGTTTGTTCTTTACATTAATGAGCGTGATACCTATTTCAGGGAATGCATTGATGGCGGGTGTGGAAACCAGTTTGTTCTTTACATTAATGAGCGTGATACCTATTTCAGGGAATGCATTGATGGCGGGTGTGGAAACCAGTTTGTTCTTTACATTAATGAGCGTGATACCTATTTCAGGGAATGCATTGATGGCGGGTGTGGAAACCAGTTTGTTCTTTACACAGATAGGCCTGCTTCATATGATGCATGGAATGTTGAGCACTATCATCTCGAAACAAGGTAATATACGCTTTATTTTCCATTTTCACCATCTCCCCCCCCCCTTCAATTAGTTGGGCAATCGGGAGTTCCCTTTCGGATACCTTTTGGATCACGTGACAAAGTCTGTTCATGTTTTGCGATTAAAGGGGCAGCAAAGGATATACAGAGAAAATTTGAAAATTGTTACTTTTTCTAAGCTATCAGGGCAACATTTGGCTTAACATCTTCTTTGACATACCTGTTTTCTTAAAATGTATGGATTTAGGATTAAGAAGTGTAAATTCAGTTCAAAGCTCCTATAAAGGGAGTCCCATTTATAGATTTTTAAGAGCCACCAAGTTTCAAGAGAAATATCAGCTGAAATAATGTTCATTCAGGGGGTTTCGTTGGAGATAATAAAAATATGTCTAATTCATGATGAAACATCCAACCTTGAATATATTTTGACACTCTTCAATGATCGTTGAATGGTCCATCTGCATTAATTGTTGCACCTTTAAGAAACATTTAGTATTTAGAATAGTCTTAAGACATGAGATGTCTTTTATTTGCCACGGTGGTGTCTTATATAGATTGTGACATATCTTTCATGTTTTATATATTTTTATGATAAATAAATAAATATTTATAATGTGATAATCACATTTGTTATGAATATCAGAAAAAATATAATTGAAGAACAATTTGAAAGGGTCTTAATATGACATCCAACGAGAAACTAGTCCGTTAAACATGATAGACATACGTTTTAATTAGGAAAGAGGTATTTGAAGTGATTGAAGCTGCAAGAATTGTGGAGAAGAGTCGCCTTAGAGTCGAGATAAAGGTAAGAAACAATTAGTTCCATCAATGTATGCTACGTTTTATATAAAAAATTAAACTAGAAATTAAAAGTTGATAGTTTCTTAACAAAATTCAAGAGATTTCCACCTATTTGTCGTCATATTAAAGTCAAGACTTTAAAGTAGATTTGCTGTTTGAAATACTTACAGGGCATGGGTTTCAGCGCTTTGAATTTGTAAGCAATTTAAAAAAACAATCTGTAATCCTCCTGGTTAGGGATCTGTTAGAAGAGCCCCATGGCCAGCTTTTGCCCAGTGGGTTCACTTTTGAAAAAAGGGGATTTACATATGACCATTTTAGCCCAAGACCAAATTCACTCGAACGGTGCTTTAAATTGTGTAAACATTATTTTGAACGTGTTTTGTCCCATAAATGGTTTGCACACCCCCTGGCTATGGGCCTGGAAGACTGTATAGTTCAGATGGACCTTCGAAGTTAGTACATACAGCAGTAGTATTTTGACTTACCTTCTTGATTTACTTAAAAAAACGAAATATATATATGTGTTTGTTTGTAGGTGAATTTGAAGATAAGCGACAGCAGCAATATCATACAGAACATCGTGCTTGATGCTGAAAGCCCATACTTGAGGTTTAATACTGAGGTACGTTTCAGTCATAACATTCTCTGAACACCGGGCTCCAGACATTATCCACATGTTCCTTCCTTCCCCCAGTGACCATTTTTCCTGACCAATACTAAATAGCTGATCGCAGGTTGGAAGAGGAGGTACGAGTTCTGGATGAATGTGTTAGGAGGATGCCGTTTTAATTCAATAAACCGATTGAAATGGAATCACAATGTTGGACCGATACCGAAGGTATTGTTTCGCAACGAAGATAGCCGAAGGAATTTGATTGGTTCAAAAGTATTACCCACGTGATATAAACATATATCAGTGATGTCCCGATTGGAATGTGTTCATCGATTTGATAATTTTCCAGATTACGCCAGCAACTTTCAAGCTTCTTTCTACAAGTCTTGACTACCTCCAAGACCATATTCTACGTGTACCCATATAGAACACACCCCAGCCCATAAAGAACAATGTCATTCCCATATAGAACAATCCCCAAACATTAAAGATCACGCGCAAAGCCAGCTCGGACCTACGAGATTAATTTGCAGAGCCTCTCGACCACCTCCAACCTGTTCCAAAATATTGAACCTATCTTGTTCATCTAATATGCGACATATAATTTTATACAATAATGTAATGCTTTATGTTAAGGTTGCCTGGCACGAAGATCACAAGTTCTTAAAGGTTGAATTCCCAGTGAATTGTCGCAGTGACGTAGCAACGTATGACACTCAATACGGCTTTGTTAGACGCCCTACTCATGCAAATACATCCTGGGATTGGTTCAAGTTTGAGGTAGGCTATATGGGGTTAAGCGAAATATATACATATTTTACATTAAATATTATATTCAATTGGGGCGGGGTAAACCAATATTATTAGACTCCAGATGTAAATCTGGAGTCTATTGTTTTCGTCAGTATTCTTCTTCTTCTTATTATTATTCTTTATTATTTTTCTTTCCCAGTTTTCTCGTTAACTAGAAGATATTGAGTCAAGTCTTATATATGGTCCATTTAGGTCCTAGATCTAGTTTCTCGGAAATTGGGTCAAATTTTTATCTAGGTCAAAGGTCAAGAACTAGGTCAAATCTTACATTTTCAACATTCTGTCATTTATCTTCGTCGTTGTTTATCGTAACTCCTAAATCTTTTTTTCATCATGTAGCTTAGAAAAAGCCAAAGCAAAGATATGACATTAGATTTTTGATTACGCTTACCGATTTTGAAATATGGCGTCCAGAAAGTAGGTCACAATAAAAAGTTCTCCAAATTTAACATATGAGTTATGAATTAAGGGTAGAATTTTCTCAGGAATCCGAATCTGTAAATCAAATTTCGATCCGACTTCCGGTTCAAAAGTTATGACTTTTTTTAACCTGCCAATAACCACGCGCAAGATCGAAAAAATCAATATGATGGTATCCTGATAGAAAGTCAAGAGTAGTGAAGAAAATATTGAAAAATCCTTCCATCCATCCCATCTATCCTATCCTATCCTATCCTATATCCTATCCTATATCTATCCTATATCCTATCCTATATCCTATCCTATATCCTATCCAATCCTATCCTTCTTTCCTATCCTTCCTATCCTATCCTTCCTTCCTATCCTATACTATCCTATCGTTTCTTCCTATTCTATCCTATCCTTCCTTCCTTCCTATATTGGAAGGAAGGATAGGATAGGATAGGATAGGAAGGAAGGATAGGATAAGAAGGATAGGAAAGAGGGATAGGACTGGACGACTCGGCTTATTCTGGACGACTCGGCTATATCCATCCCACCTATCCTATTCAATCCTATTCTTCTTTCCTATCCTTCCTATCCTATCCTTCCTTCCTTCCTATCCCATCCTTCCTATTCTGTCCTATCTTATTCTTTCTTCGGATTCTATCATATCCTATTCTATCCTTCCTATCCTATCCTATTCTATCCTTTCTTCCTATTCTGTCCTATCCTTCCTATCCTATGAATTCATCCATTCATCCATCAATCCATCCATCCATCGGCTTATTCTGGATGACTCGGCTTATTCTGGATGACTCAGCCTATTCTGGATGACTTGGCTATTTTGGATGACTCGACTATAATATCCATCCCAACTATCCTATCCAATCCTATCCTTCTTTCCTTTCCTTCCTATCCTTCCTTCCTATCCTGCCCTTCCTATTCTGTCCTATCTTATTCTTTCTTCGGGTTCTATCGTATCCTATTCTATCCTTCATACCCTATACTATCCTCTCCTTTCTTCCTATTCTATCCTATCCTTCCTTCCTATTCTGTCCTATCCTTCCTCCTATCAATCCATCCATTCATCCATCAGTCCAGCTATCCACCTGCTTATTCTGGATGACTCGGCTTATGCTGGATGACTCAGCTTATTCTGGATGACTCGGCTTATTCTGGATGACTCGGCTAAAAAAGGTCTTAATCTGGAGTCTGAAATTGAACTTGTTCAATTTCCAAAGTCTAGTTATAAATGTGTTTTTTTAAGGTTTGCACTCACAAATGGGCGGACTTATCAGAATACAACTTTGGTGTAGCAATACTGAACGACTGCAAATATGGATTCCAAACCAGCGAGAATGTGATGCGGCTATCTTTGTAAGTTATCCATTTGAGGTTATTCTTGTAAGTTATCCACTTGAGGTTATCCTCGTAAGCTATCCATTTGAGGTTATCCATGTAAGTTATCCACTTGAAGTTATCCTTGTAAGTTATCCATTTGAGGTTATCCTTGTAAGTTATTTATTTGAGGTTATTCTTATAAGTTATCCATTTGAAGTTATCCTTGCATGCTGCATTTTAAAATCTTCCTTTCTGCCAATCTATAGTTTCTGAACTGCATTTATTTGGGGAGCCAAGAAACACGCGTTTAAAGACAAAATATAGTTAAATGAGTAGAGTCCTCTCATGATTAGTTCGCTTGTGTAACATTTACTTGCATGACCAATTGAGTATAATTGTATAGGGAAAATATGCGTTGTCACTGAATTATTTTAGAAAAAAACAATGAAAGGGTCGGTAGTAGTCCTTGTATGTAATAATATTACATACATGTATTCACGTACACATTTTAAAAAAACTCCTCTATTGATTATATTTGAACATATTGGTGTTAACTGTATACTTTGGTTTAGATGAAACGCGTAAAGGTAAGCACGTGTTAGTGCGGTTCAGTTACATGATTTTAAGAGAACGTGAACGTGTTATGATAAGACCCCGTGGATTCTGTTCTAGTCTCAATATCCCTCAAATTCTGTGTTTCCAGCTATTTTCTATACGACTATAGTTCTTCACGTTCAAATACAAGTTTTATTGAAAAGTGTAGCTTGACCTCCCTTTTGATGAAAGCACTGGTCTATCGTTTCCTGGGAAAATTTAAAATGTACCTCATCTCGAAGAATAGCTCTCGTAACAAGTAGTGCATTGCATTCGAGTGGCATAGCAGGTTAATCAAATTCTCTCCTAACTTTCTCGTGTAGGTTGAAATCGCCGAAAGCCCCCGATGAGGTCGCTGACATGGGCAATCACACATTCACGTATGCAATTCTACCACACGAGAACACATTCCAAGATGCCGGCGTGATCCGCAATGCAGCAAACCTGAACAACCCTCTCATTGTTAAACCAATCAATGGTGTTAAAGAGAGTTTACTTAACGTGCCATTCTTTCAAGTTGACACAGATAGCATCATTATTGATACAATAAAAAAGGTATTATATTTAGGAGTCGTGATTGTAACGTAAATTTTGTCCCTTATTTTTGAATCATCCCTCTAAATACATTTTTGACAATTTACAACCAAAACCAACCATGTTTCGCAATAATGATCAATTCTATTATAAGTGTATAAGTGTATTTATTCATTCATTCAGTCTGCTATTTACTTTTACTAATATTTAACAGACCATTACTTTGCCATTTTTCATTCCAGAGTGAAGATTCTGATAATGCTATTATTATTCGAGCATACGAATCATTTGGAGGAACTTGTGTTGCGACTATTACGACGTCGCTTCGTTTCTCCTGCGTCCACAGCTGCAATATGCTAGAAGACGTAGATCCAGAAGAAATACGAACGCCAAACAAAACAAGCATTGCTGTTGATTATAAACCTTTCCAAGTTAAAACTTTCAAAGTGAAATTCTAAAATAACAACGACAAACACTTCAAAGTGATGAAAAGCCTTAGAAAACACAGGACGTGATAGACACCCCATTCAAAAAGTCTGAGATTCAAATAAGATGTTTTGTATTAATTTGGACAACATTTTAGAAACGATGTAAGTAGTCAAGGAAACACCTTGGGAAAAGGAGCAAGGGACACTCGGTAGTCGATGTTTACCATTTGAAATCTGACTTTATTTCATAATTATAAAAAGGACAAACAGTTTCTTATTTTAATGAATGTGGATTGTATGCAAATCTTATTATGTCATATTTTTTTAATTTATTTGAGGTAGTTTCAAGATAAACTAGTTTCCCAAGAATAGAAGCCAAACACATGTCAAGGATGAATAAAGCAATACTTGAACGTAATATATGAATGTAAATTATTGTAAAGTCAAATGAAATTTTAATTTCAAGAATACTTAGTCATTCAATGTGTTATGGCCCTATAAACGTATGGGAAACTGACGATCATGGTCGGACATTATTATACGCCTTCTCCCCCATTCAGCAAAGCTCATTTGTACTTGACCCACCATAAGTCATTGTCAGGTCAAAGTCTGGCCAGCATTATTTTCCAACCACTCCAACGTCAGTCATTGAAAAGGACAAAGGGGTGTCTCCATTATACACCGTCAATTACTGAAATGTCAAAATGTTGTTTATATGATCCCAGCCTTCAAATCATTAGCCATTGAAAGGTCATCGTATGGCCTCTATTATATTTCAACCTTACCATTATGAAGCCACTGAAAGGTCATCGTATGGCCTCTATTATATTTCAACGTTACCATTATGAAGCCATTGAAAGGTCATCGTATATGGCCTATATTATATTTCAACCTTACCATTATGAAGCCATTGAAAGGTCATCGTATGGCCTCTATTATATTTCAACCTTACCATTATGAAGCCATTGAAAGGTCATCGTATTGCCTCTATTATATTTCAACCTTACCATTATGAAGCCATTGAAAGGTCATCGTATGGCCTCTATTATATTTCAACCTTACCATTATGAAGCCATTGAAAGGTCATCGTATGGCCTCTATTATATTTCAACCTTACCATTATGAAGCCATTGAAAGGTCATCGTATGGCCTCTATTATATTTCAACCTTACCATTATGAAGCCATTGAAAGGTCATCGTATTGCCTCTATTATATTTCAACCTTACCATTATGGAGCCATTGAAAGGTCATCGTATGGCCTCTATTATATTTCAACCTTACCATTATGAAGCCATTGAAAGGTCATCGTATTGCCTCTATTATATTTCAACCTTACCATTATGAAGCCATTGAAAGGTCATCGTATGGCCTCTATTATATTTCAACCTTACCATTATGAAGCCATTGAAAGGTCAAAGTATGATCTCTATAATGTTTCAACCTTCAAATCATAAGTCACTGAAAGAGCAAAATAAGTCTCCATTATATTTCAAAATATTGTCTAGATTATATCCTGACCTTCCCACAATCAGTAACAAAAAAGTTAAAATGTTGTCTCCGTTATATTCACCATCATCACACTGTCAAACATTTCCATCATAATTCATTAAAAGAACTCATAGTCGGGTCATTCTTATGATTGAATCTTTAACAATCAGCCACTAATTAAAAGGTCAAAGTACGGTATCTTTTATATTACATCAACAATTAGTCCATAGAAGGTTAAAGCGTTGGCATTATTATATTCCTCAAAAAGAAACATAACAGACATTATTATAATGTTAGTCGTATATTCTATTCATTAGTTTGCTAAACAAATTACAAAATACCATATCGCATTTCCAAAGACATCATTAAAAAATCAGATTAAGTAATTGTTATAGACTTTAATAGAGACTGTTCTCAAATAAGTTTTCATATTTCATAGAACTAAATAAAGGCATTTCTGCTCCAAGGGACTCAGTCCTTATGACATATTTAAAAATTCGATTGTTCACATCTGCTTCAAGACCACTCAATGTTTCCCATTTTCCTTGACGTTGGTGTATTTTATTTTTCGACCTTTTGTGGGAAAAGGAGTTACTCGTCGAAGAGTTCTTTTGGGAAAAGTTGTGATTCGTCGACGGGTTGTTTCCCTCTACCTTCATTTTCTAACTGCAATCAAAAAGTAGACATTTTTAAAAGCTCGGTTTAACAGGTGTTCAGAATATCAAGGTTGAAACTTGTCCCACCAAAACGCCAATTTTTTAAATTTCATAAACAAAGTCTCGGGATCGTGAATCTAAATTCAGAATTAAAATTCGACTTTCGGTTGAGATTCTACGCCATTTTGAACATTTCGAAAAAATCAATATGATTGTATCCTGCTAGAAAGTCAACAGTACTGAGTAAGATATCGAAACTATCGTCTTCTTATTTCAATAATTTTAAATTCAATTCAATCATATTAAGTCATAGACGTGTCGCAAAAAGGTGGCGCATTTGATTTTTAAGGGTATCGCGTGAATGTAACTTTGATTCCCCGGATCAAGATAATATTCTAATTAAAGTTATAGATCATTTTAAAGCTGTTTCGATGAAGTTTTTAGATCAGCTACACTCTGTTCACAATTCTTGCGCGTTATTTTTAAAAAAAAATAGTTTTTTACCAAAACATCTGGCAAATATCCCCTGTTGACACGTTACATTTTGAATTATTTTTCGTCTTTAAACGCTCATAACTCAAAAAATATATTACTATTACACTTATTTTTCGTCTTGATAAAGGTAGATGGAAGTTTTATTTCATAGGATGAATTAAATAAGTGTCCCATATTGTGACGTCATAGAGTTTGAAAAATTGAATCTGTTGACAGCGACCTTTTTGCTCATTTTTTGTTACCTTCAACTTTTCAGGTGTACATTAAACAAAAAATACAAATCATTTTTTAATAAATCATACATGATTATTTTTCTCTTAAACTCTAGTTTATTAATAAATAGTTGATTTTGTTCGCAAAAGTATATGTGTTCTGTTGTATGTGGAAAAGTGGAGGACGAAAGGTTTTAAAAATTCATTAAAATAGGGCTAATTTACGCCATTCGCCTATTTTCAAGCACAGCAACACGTATATTTATTTCAACTAAAATATCAATTGATTCGTGTTTTATGATTCTCCTAGCCCATTGTGAATACATAAACGAGAGTTATTCGCCTTTAATATTTTGAGATATAGAGGCAGATGTGGAGGACGAAAATTTCCATATGACTTGTGTACATTTTTCTCAAAAAACGTCACATTCTGTGGTGTTTAAACGCAAAAATGTGTAACAATACGTGGGCGAACTTTTTGCGACGTGTCATATGTATCTTATTCAATTTGGCATCTGGATTCTGAAATTGAACTTGATCAATTTCCAATCTCTAATTCCTATTCTTATTTTTATTAGACTCCAGATGTTAATAATCGGTACAATAGGCCATTTTCAACTTGCTTGAATTTTACCAATTATGTTTTGAAACATCTACAATGTCTCAGGATTTAAAAACTGACCTTCAGTGACCTTTGAAAGGTAAACCAATTTTTTATTCAAATCATGTATAGGTATATTAGGTATATTTAATCATAAAATACCTACTTAGGTCTATAGAGTGAGTATATCAATGTCAATGGTTATCAAACTTAGCCACAAACGATGTTATCTAATATTTCCCAAATTTCGAAACGACAAGTCAATCGTTTTGGTTTAAAGTGTATTTCCTCTAAAGGTTCTATAAATATTAGCAATCGACTATCTATTAGAACTTTGCACCAATTTTGAGGCATAAAGAGCTCAAAAAGTGAAAAAAGGTTAAAGAATGGGTATCGATATGGCGAACTTTTTGAACACACGATTCTCTTAAACCAGTCATCAAAAATTTCTGAAAATTTCTGAATTTCACACATCGTCAATCTATTATCTATCGTTTATCTATTTTGGGGGGTTTTGTTTTAAGTTTTTGCATACTTTTTCTTAAATCAACCAGCATTTCCTTTGTATAACTATAATATTGAGAGGTCTAAGAAAATGTTGCATATGCTATTTTTTTCCAGCAAGGTTCGGAAAGACATTTTATTTCATTCTCAAGAATTGGTAGCATGGAACAAAAAAATTGCACTAAAAAACAAAAAATGTTAACAAAAACAGTTATATAAAATGTATATAACTAATTTTCGCATTAAATTGTTGTCAATCAGTCAAAATTACACAAAGGACCGTGTTTTTACAGAATGATTTCAATAAATGGTTTAAGAGAAAAACATTGTTGAATTCAGTTTACGATATCGATACATAATCCTGTCATGATCAAAGGATGTGTCTGGATATATGCCCCCTGCCTAACCCCCTGCTGAGAGTCAGAATAAGTATTTAACAAATAAAAAAGGGTCATTGTCATAGAAAAAACACCAATGGCAACATGTATGACATACAAAGAAGAAATAACTTAAGACCCATGAAGAATTAAAAAGAAAATCATATTTTTGAAATCTATTTAAAGATTAATTTTTTTTCAAATTTTTGAATTTCCCGCCAGTTTAATATGAAGGGGGAAAAATGGCTGTCATTTGATGTAAGAAATATCAGAAAAAAAGTTGCTTCACTATTAGTTTTCACAATGACCACAGATTTCCGGTTTGTTTTTTTTGACTGATTCTGACTCTTCATCACCAGGGTCATGTATAGAGATTATAAAATTGAAACCAAAATGTTGTGCTCAGCATGAATTTGACTGAAATGTGTGTAACTTCACCAACACAATTGAAGTCTCAAAACTGGATGCTCAGTAACTTTGAGTGACTATAATCCCTTGATTACCCAGATAAACACCAATTCACTTATCCAGAAATACCATTCAATGTCTATACAAAGAAGGTAAGCAATGTTTTGGAGGATATGTTTCAAATTTTTTGTATTAAATAATTCATTTAATATTTGCCATTGATTTTTTTTTCAATTCTGACAAAGTGATATGCACTGTCTTTAATGCCAATATTATTCATCAATTGAGAAACATATTGATATTTTTGTAATCTCAAAGGAAGGATAAGATATTGAAGTTTAATAATATGTGTGATTGAGTTGGTTTTTGAGACATTACACTTTTCAATATTTTCTAAGTCGATACCCAGACTCATTCCCAGACTCATCCTTTCAATCTGCTTCAAATTGAACAAATCTTTTTTGAACATAATCGATAAGTTCATGTATGCCGTTAGATTTAAGATGTGATGAAGATGTCCATCTTCTGACTGACTCAGCTTAAAAAAAGTCTGAAATCTGGAATCTTAAAGTAAGTAAAATTGCAAATATTAAATCTAAAATGTTTAACTGTGGGACTTGAGTATTTAGTTCAGTGCTAAGATATGGACGAGAATTCCCAGGTCGAGATATCTGGCCATCATACGTCCCGGAGAACTACTTGGGGAGAATAAATTATTTATATATCCCGGATCCTCGTCGAAGCAGGACATATATATACCTGGATTTGGAATATATTCCTGGTTAATATGTCCCCGAAACCTCATCAAATATGGACTACAGTTTGTTAACAAACATACTACACAATATGATGAGAATGGCGGTATTTTAAAAATAGGCTTTCACTTAAAATCCTACTTGAAAATTATGAAAATCTTTGGGCAGAATTGTGATTTTTTATCAACATTGGGGAAAACTCCTGAAAACACTAGGACCTTACCTCTCTCACCTTCCGTGAAACAGACAGAAGTGTTTCGACCCAGGACTCCCTACAAAAAAAACATTACAGGATGTGAAGTGCAAGTACATTATGTTACAAACTAAACAAATATGTCACAAACCTCTATAGTATGGTACAAACTAGTATATTATGGTACAACCCTGTACGTATTCTATGTAGTACTATATAGAATATTATGGTACAAGCTTATATATTATGGACAGGTACAAACTAGTATATTATGGTACAAACTGGTATATTATGGTACAAACTAGTATAATATGGTACAAACTAGGATATTATGGTACAAACTAGTATATTATGGTACAAACTGGTATATTATGGTACAAACTAGTATATTATGGTACAACCCTGTACATATTCTTTGTAGTACAATATAGTACATTAGGGTACAAACTCTCAGTAATACTATAAAGTACATAATGGTACATATTCTATGTAGTACTATATAGTACATTATGGTACATGCCCTTAGTAGTACTATAAAGACATTGTGGTACATACTAGTGTATATCATGGTACATACTCCCTGTAGTACTATAAAGTACATTTTGGTACATACTAGTGTATATCATGGTACATACTCTCAGTAGTACTACAGAGCGTCAAATAAGTCTGTTCTCCCCCCCTAACTTTTTTAATTCTTAAATTTATTATACTTTCCCATATATAATCCTAAAGCTTATGGGAAATGCTGATCACCCTTTAAAAATCAATAATAAAATCTTCCTAATAAAATTGCTCCAATATTTCTTGTTAAAAAATAATCTTTCAATTATTGGTATGACTGAAACATGGCTTACATCAAACTTAGAGCCTATTTATGAGGAAAATGATTCTAATTATAATAGTATTTTTAACTCTAGGAAAGATAGACCAGGGGGTGGTGTTGCACTTCATATTTTAAAAGGCATTGACTTTAAACATAGGGATGACCTCAAATTAGATTATAAAGCATGTGAATCTCTATCTATTGAAATTCCTAGAAAAAATGAGAAAAATATGGTTATTACTATAATATATAGACCACCAAATACAGACATGGCATCTTTTCTTGAAAGTTTTGAGAGTCTACTTTCTAAAATTGATAGGGAACATAAAATTTCTTTTATAATGGGTGATTTCAACATTGATTTACTTAAAACTGAAAGTGATGCACAAACGTTGAATTTTCTTAATCTATTATACTCCCAATCTTACAACCCATTGATTTTTAAACCTACCAGAATAACAGAAAAAAGTGCTACGCTTATTGATAATATCTTTTCTAATTCAAATAATGTAATCAAAAGTGGTCTTCTTTCATTTCCCATTTCTGATCACCATCCTATCTTTGCCCTTACATCACACCATCAAAATGTTTGTGAAAATAAACAAATCACTTTTAGGAAATATCCATTGAGTGCAATTAATAATTTTAGTGATTCATTGAAAGATATAGATTGGACTGGTATAATTAATGAAAAGGTTGATGTAAATGTGGCTTATAATTTATTTGCAGACAAAATTAGTAGAAAATATGATGAACATTTCCCTGTAAAAGTCAAAAATACAAAAATTCACAAGAACCCAATTAAGCCTTGGCTCTCACATGGTATACTAACATCTGTGAAACAGAAGAATAAACTTTATCGAAATACTTTGAAACACCCAACGAAACAGAATCAAGCTGAATACAAAACTTTTCGAAACAAACTCCATAAATTAATCCGTAAAGCAGAAAGGAAATATTTTTGTGATAGATTTACTGAAACAAGCAATAATATCAAGAATACTTGGTCAGTTATAAATGATTTACTTCACCGCAAAAAATGTGATTCAGTTTTTCAGATAAATTTTATGATGGAGATGATACTTTGACTGATAGAAAAGATATTGCTAATCATTTTAACAGATTTTTTTCTAATGTTGGACCTAAATTAGCATCAAAGATAAGTTCAAAAACGTCCCCTTTAACATTTATGGAAATCAATGAATCTTCTTTAGAACTTACTCCTGTGAGTAAGAATGAAATCGAAAATTTAATGTCAGTTTTAAAAGATTGCTCACCAGGCCTAGATGAATTCAAACCAATAGTAGTTAAACACGCAAGAAATAACTTACTTTTACCATTTGTTCATATAGCAAACTTATCTATCCATACAGGTGTTTTTCCCACTAAGTTGAAAACAGCCAAAGTTATCCCACTTTTTAAAAAAGGAAACACTTCAAAATTTTCAAACTATAGACCCATATCTCTACTTAGTGTCTTTTCTAAACTCTTAGAACAGATCATGAAAAATAGATTAATAACATTCATTGAAACATACAAACTTTTATTAAAAAATCAGTTTGGTTTTAGAAAACATTATTCAACTTATATGGCAATCCTCTCCTTCTTGGAAGAAGTGAGGATATCTTTAGATAAAAGCTCAACTCATGCTATTGGAATATTTTTAGATTTATCGAAAGCCTTCGATACAGTAAATCATGAAATTCTTCTAAAAAAACTTGATAATTTTGGAATTCGCAATGTTGCAAAAAATTGGTTCGAAAGCTATTTATCGGATAGAAAAATCATTACTTCTTTTAACAACACTCTATCTGAAGAAAATATTATCACTTGTGGTGTACCTCAAGGGTCTGTTTTAGGCCCCATCTTATTCATTCTTTATATAAATGATTTACATAAGGTTTCAAATATTCTTAAATTTACTATTTTCGCAGATGATACAAATATCTTATGTTCTAACAAAAATCTTCATGATCTATATAGAAATGTAAATTTAGAAATGGAAAAGACATTAGAATGGTTCAAATCAAATAAACTTTCTTTAAATATAGACAAGACAAATTATATGCTATTTACAAGATCAAAGTTAAATATTGATGAAAATCAAGATTTTAATATAAAAATAGGGGGTAATATTCTTAATAGAGTAATGCATACAAATTTTCTGGGAGTAACAATTGATTGTAAATTAAAATGGAATGAACACATAAATAAGGTTATACATAAAATATCAAAAATTATTGGTATTCTGGGAAAGATTAAATATAAATTGAATACAAAAACCATGATTACCATTTATAATTCACTTATATTATCACAATTGAACTATTGCAACATCATATGGGGTAATGCATGTAAAACCTTTTTGAATAAATTGCTTTTGTTACAAAAACGTGCAGTGAGAATAATCACAAATTCTGACTTTTTAGCACATAGTCCACCTCTTTTTAAACAACTCAATTTTCTAGATATTTTTGACATACATAAGCTTGAAGTTGCAAAATTTCTTTATCAATACACAACAAAACCCGATGGCTTTCCTTTTGACATATTTGAAAATTATTTTACTCCAAATTTAATATTTCACGAACATGAGACAAGATTCCAAAATTGTCTTCACATGAAAAAATTTAGAACAAGTATAGGTCAACATTCAATAAAATATTCAGGTGCTCAGCTTTGGAATAATCTGCCAACTTCTTTGAAAACATCACCTTCCATTTACTGTTTTAAAAAGAATTTTAAAATCCATATGACATCAACATATGATGAACTGAATTACTGACAAACATATATGTAGATTTTATATATTGTTATCAATTTTATTCTCTTTTTACTGAGTAAATATTCTTAATTGGTCTTTTTTTCTCATTTCCATGTGACTCGGGTTAATATTTAAATGTTTTCACGCTGATACACTTATTTAAAGTGTCAAGTGTTATTATGTATTTGATTTTAATTTAGAGAATAAATATTTTTAATTTAAAAAAAAAAAAAAAAATAAGGCTGTAGTATGAACGATGAAAAGTTAAAACTGCAATTATGAATGACAGGGTCGAAAAATTAATCAAAGAGGAGGAACTTCATGGCCATAAAATATTGCTCAAATGTATCAAGAAAGCTCTTAAAAGCCTGGAAAGTGCAACAACCCTGTTTGTGAACAATTTAGAATTGAATCCTTGTTGGATTGAGCCTGTCCGAGCTGCTTGAAGGAATTATACAAATTATTAAAAATGTGAAATATGGACATCACTACAAATACTCTAAAAACTTTTGAATTAAACCAATCACCCTAAAATTTGGTGTGTGATCAGCAAATTGAATTCCCTTTAATATGGTATACAGTAACCCTATATTTCTTCTATATTAAAAAAAGTAAATGGGGAGAGCCTTATTTGACGCCCTGCATAAAGTACATTATGGTACATACTAGTGTATATCATGGTACATACGCCTTGTAGTACTATAAAGTACAATATGGTACATAGTAATGTATATCATGATACATACTCTTTGTAGTACTATAACCTACATTATGGTATGTACTAGTATATATCATGGTGCATACTCTTTGTAGTACTATAAAGTACAATATGGTACATAGTAATGTATATCATGATACATACTCTCTGTAGTACTATAAGGTACATTATGGTACATACTAGTATAAATCATGGTACATACTCTTTGTAGAACAATAAAGTACATTGGTACTTAGTAATGTATATCAAGATACATACTCTCTGTAGTACTATAACTTACATTATGGTATGTACAAGTATATATCATGGTGCATACTCTTTGTAGTACTATAAAGTACATACATGTACATACATACATACTCTCTGTAGTACTATAACTTACATTATGGTACATACTAGTATATATCATTGTACATACTCTTTGTAGTACTATAAAGTACAATATGGTACTTAGTAATGTATATCATGATACATACTCTCTGTAGTACTATAACTTACATTATGGTACGTACTAGTGTATATCAGGGTACATACACCTTGTAGTACTATAAAGTACATTATGGTACATACTAGTGTATATCATGATACATACTCTTTGTAGTACTATAAAGTACATTATGGTACATACTAGTGTATATCAGGGTAAATACACCTTGTAGTACTATAAAGTACATAATGGTACATCCTAGTGTATGTCATGATACATACTCTCTGTAGTACTATAACTTACATTATGGTACATACTAGTATATATCATGGTACATACTCTTTGTAGTACTATAAAGTACATAATGGTACATCCTAGTGTATGTCATGGTTCATACTCCCTGTAGTACGAGACATAACATTATGGTACATACTAGTGTATATCATGGTAAATACTCCCAGTACTACGAGAAAGAACATTATGGTACATACTAGTATATATCATTGTAAATACTCCCTGTAGTACGAGAAAGAACATTATGATACATATTCTATGTAGTACTTGATGTACATTATGGTACATTATTCTGTGTAGTACTATATAGTACATCATGGTACATACTCTTTGTAGTACTATTAAGTACATTTTGGTACATATTAGAAAGTGTATATCATGGTGCATACGCATTGTAATACTATAAAGTGCATTATGGCACATACTTGTGTATATCATGGTACATATATCTTGTAGTACGATACAGTACATTATGACACATACTAGTGTATATCATGGTTCATACGCCTTGTAGCACTATCAAGTACATTATGGTACATACTAGGGTATATTATGGTACATACGCCTTGTAGTACTATAAAGTATCTTATGGTACATTCTAGTGTATAACATGGTTCATACGCCTTGTAGCACTATAAAGTACATTATGGCACATACTTGTGTATATCATGGTTCATACGCCTTGTAGCACTATCAAGTACATTATGGTACATACTAGTGTATATCATGGTACATACGCCTTGCAGTTCTATAAAGTACATTATGGTACATACTAGTGTATATCATGGTTCATACGCCTTGAAATACTGTAAAGTACATTATGGTACATACTATATGGCTAGTGTATAGCATGGTACATACGCCTTGTAGTACTATAAAAGTACATAATGGTACATTCTAGTGTATATCATGGTTCATACACCTTGTAGTACTATAAAGTGCATTATGGCACAATACAAGTGTATATCATGGTACATACTTTTCTGTAGTACTATATAGTACATAATGGTACATACTAGGTGTGATCAGGAATTTCTGAACCATTGGCTCTTTTTGAATATTTTAAACCTTTCTTAGTGATTATGGTACAAACTAGTGTATATCATGGTACATACTCTTTGTAGTACTATAAGGTACATTATGGTACAAACTAGTGTATATCATGGTACATACTCTTTGTAGTACTATAAAGCAGATTATGGTTCATTCTAGTGTATATCATGGTACATACTCTTTGTAGTACTATAAGGTACATTATGGTACAAACTAGTGTATATCATGGTACATACTCTTTGTAGTACTATAAAGCAGATTATGGTTCATTCTAGTGTATATCATGGTACATACTCTTTGTAGTACTATAAGGTACATTATGGTACAAACTAGTGTATATCATGGTACATACTCTTTGTAGTACTATAAAGCAGATTATGGTTCATTCTAGTGTATATCATGGTACATACTTCTCTGTAGTACTATAAAGTACATAATGGTACTAGGTGTGATCAGGAATTTCTGGACCATTCGCCCCATTTTTTGCCATTTTTATCGTTTCTTAGTGATTTTTTCAAACAATATAACCCAAATATATGGGATCACATCATGACGATTTCATTGTTCTATGACATCATTATCCTATTATTATTGTTACCATGGTAACCATTGACGCAACAAGGTGGAGCTCAGCAAAATAAAAAATTTGAAAAATCAACAGAAATTTTATGCATTGGCCAAAGTGTCCAAACATCATATAAAAGTCTAGTTTTGAAGATGTCAATTTTGGATGACCAAAATCATGCTGAAAACAATGGATAGCATGAGTTTTCCCTATGGGAAAATAACATGGGAAATGGGGTTTTTAACTTTATTTTATTTCAATACCTATCCCGTTTTCAGAAGTAATTAATATAACCTCCTCTTTTTTAGAGAATAAGCCTTGCAATTTAAAAGGATCACAAGGTGGGGTCCCAATCCATAATTTTTTAGAGAGTGGGATTGATATTTTACTACCATGGGGACGTTACTTTAAACATGTTGTTTCAATAAAACTCTGTATATTTTTACCTAGAAAATACTCATGGTGAAAGATATGACTGTCTAAAATCACTTGCCATACTGCACATGGGCCTTTGGTATCTTTTATGAGCTCCACCTTTGTCGCTAGTTACCATCATAACAACAATAATAGGATAATGATGTCATAGAACAATGAAATCTCCATGGTGTTATCCTATATAGTTGCGTTATATTATGTGAAAAAATCAAAAAGAAAGGATAAAAATGGCAAAAATAGAGTCAACGGTCCAGAAATTCCCGATCACGCCTCGTACTTGTGTATATCATGGTACATACCTCTCTGTAGCGGACTCAACAGAAAAAATGCGCTCAATAATCATGTTTTGTTGAAACGTACGCATGATAAATGTATTTGCTCTGAATTTTTCAGTCCTCTCAATCTTGTATTCTGAAAACATCACATTCATGTTATCTCTGCTTTCCAGTTTTATAACATGTGCATTCACTCATTGAAATTCTCTACTGCCTTTGCCAAAGTCAAAACAACAACAACAACAAAAAATGCTTATATTCATTATCTCTGCTTTCCAGTCTATTATATGTGCATTCACTGATTGAAATTCTCAACTGCCTTTGCCAAAGTCAAAACAACAACAACAACAACAACAAAAAAATGCTTATATTCATTGTCTCTGCTTTCCAGTCTATTATATGTGCATCCCCTGATTGAAATTCTCTACTGCCTTTGTCAAAATCAAAACAACAACAACAACAACAACAACTATGCTTATATTCATTGACATATCATCACTCTACTAAACCTTGCATTTGATGTTCATGAGGGTAACAGGACAACTCATCCCTGAGACAACTCATTCCAAGACAACTCATCCCCACGACACCTCGTCCCACGACAACTTATAACCGAGAGAACTCTTCCCAACTTGAAATATAACATTATTTTATACAATTAATTTCAACTCTTGAAAGAATTTTTGAAAAATATTTACAGATTTTAGCAGTTGGCATACTATTTGGCCATAGAATATCTTTGATTTTTTAATATACATTTTTTCATGCTGTATTTTAAACTGACACATTTTATATTTTGTCATGCTGTATTCACGGTACGTTATAGCATGACGGTTACGCCACCTCTGAAAACGAGGTTGGTTGGCTACGTTCATTGGTTTATCAAATAAAATGGCCGTGATGGAACAGAAAACTAAGGTTGGTACATCATTTTCTACTACTGTGTATCTATGAAAGGATGAACGATTTATGTAAGCATCGCATTCGGTGATGCATTTCGTAATGTATATTTTGAACGTAGTCTTTGCAAATTGATGCCCGGGGATAACATATAATAAGCTAAAAACTGTTGAGTTTGAAATTCAAAACTACACAAAATTTAGTAATTTGTTTATCTTTGTCTTAAGGGCATGGTCTACATTGCCTAACGACCTCGGGGTATATAGATGTAACCTACATACGATCATAAAAAGCCAATTGAGCATTGGGAACCACCTAATATGTTCAACTCAAGCCATAATAATGTATTTTGAATTTGCGCAAAAAAATCGAGGGTTACGCGAACCTCGTTCAAATATGTATCCCCGATCCATTGTTATTAATTTTTGCCATATTCATCAGTACGTGATGCTAATTCTTCCTTTGCCTCTTCATTGCTATCTTTCTGAATTTCATTGGTTTCATAAATAAAGCAAGTCACAATTTTCCTTGCCCTATTGAGGCTCAAACAAGAGCGTCTCTTGCGAGTCCTGAAAACAAATATAAGCAATTCAATATTCCATTTCTTACCCGTTATAACAATGACATGGAAAAAGGCTATCGGAACTTACTAGCAACCTTGACTTGAAAGATGTACATGCACGTAACCGTCCGCTATATATCTAATGTACAACTCATACAAAACGTTACCGTCCATATAATTAATACGTAGTCGTCTAACGGCATTGCGTTTGAAACCTTATTACTTACAATATATACCACGTTCCTTTTCTGGATTTGTCATTTTATCGCTTTTCCATACATAGTTTACTTACAGTTAATAGTTTGAGTGGCTTTGAGGCACATATACTGAGAAAACACGAGAATGGACTAAAAATTATGAACTTTGATATATCAGTCGGTAAGTTTACAGCTTATATTCTGCTTCTAGTAAACCACCTGGCAGATTTGACCCAGTCTTTATAACCATCAATATATACGTCACCGAATGTAACTAGCTGAAAAGTAAATCTTATCTGTGAATCTTGCCTACAGGCGAGAAAGAGGACATGCTGTATTTCCCATCCGCCATTTTATGTTATCGTTACCGCAAAATTTCGCAAATCGCCTTGACGTAACCGTCATGTTATAACACCGTGGTATTTACTTGATATTTTTTATTTTTTGTAGTTCGTTTAGTCTAGTTTTAGTTCTTTTTTGTTGATTGATTCGGACAAAGCAAATCATTTTGGCAGAAACTTCTAAATTGTACCATTGTTTTTCAGCATAGTTGTAATAGAATAACGACTAGAACTTATAACTATTATTCTTTAATGTAAGAACCCCTCATTATTATCCGGGGTATTATAAGAATGACTCTCCCAGATTAATTCAGTCTTTGTATTGACGTATTTTGCTGAATTCCAATATGTCATCTTTGGCTTAATCCGGAATACGATTTCAAATTATAAATTTTCAGATTAATGATGATTGAATTTGAAAATCATGTCTATGACTTTTATATTCAATTCGATATTCTTATTTATCTATTGAGAATCAAGATACCGTACTTAAAAGTAAAACATAACTTTCAAGTGCCATTTCGAAATTAACTGTATAGAATTATGTTATATTTCAAGTTTGGAAGAGTTGTCTCGGGGATAAGTTGTCTTGCGATGAATTGTCTTGAGATGAGTTGTCTTGGGGATGAATTGTCTTGGGGGTGAGTTGTCTTGGGGTGAGTTGTCTTGGGATGAATTGTCTTGGATTGACTTGTCTTGGGGCGAGTTGTCTTGGGATGAATGTTGACTTGGGGGTGAGTTGTCTTGGGATGAATTGTCTTGGAATGAATTGTCTTGGGATGAGTTGTCTTGGGATGAATTGTCTTGGGATGACTTGTCTTGGGGTGAGATGTCTTGGGATGACTTGTCTTGGGGATGAATTGTCTTGGGATGACTTGTCTTAGGGGTGAGTTGTCTTGGAATGAATTGTCTTGGGGTGAGTTGTCTTGGGATGAATTGTCTTAGGGGTGAGTTGACTTGGGATGAATTGTCTCGGGAAAATTGTCTTAGGAATGAATTGTCTTGGGATGAATTGTCTTGGGGTGAGTTGTCTTGGGATGAATTGTCTTAGGGATGAATTGTCTTAGGGATGAATTGTCTTGGGATGACTTGTCTTGGGGTGAGTTGTCTTGGGATGAATTGTCTTGGGGATGAATTTTCTCAGGGGTGAGTTGTCTTGGGATGAATTGTCTTGGGGTGACTTGTCTTGGGATGAATTGTTTTGGGATGAATTGTCTTGGGGGTGAGTTGTCTTGGGGGTGAGTTGTCTTGGGATGAATTGTCTTAGGGGTGAGTTGTCTTGGGATGAATTGTCTTAGGGGTGAGTTGTCTTGGGATGAATTGTCTTTTGATGAATTGTCTTGGAATGACTTGTCTTAGGGATGACTTGTCTTGGGTTGACTTGTCTTGGGGATGAGTTGTCTTGGGATGAGTTGTCTTGTGGATGAGTTGTCTTGGGATGAGATGTCTTTGGATGAAATGTCTTGGGAATGGGGATGAATTGTCTTGGGATGACTTGTCTAGAAACCTTCATAAGAAACCCTTTCGGCTTATCAGTAATAATTATCGAATTTGTTTTTATGTGTCTGTTCCTTATTAATGGTTTATTGGATGACTGTTAGAAGTTAATAAGGTACTTTCTAAAATATACTTAACAATCCAAATTGACAAAGTACATGTATCTTATGCATTTCTAGGTGAAATGTATAGTAGAGTGATCATGGAAACTAGAAAACTGATATTCCTGTTCTCTACTGACTATTTCCCTGAAGAAGTACAAGTATATCAATCTGAGCTCAATGAAAGAATTAATTAGCACATACCTTCAACGAAGAAATTAATCAGAGGTTTTTGAGTTAGGCTGGCTTGGACGTCAATGAATCCTTTGAATGGACCATCATCCATTAAGATAAAGTAACGTGGCTTAAAGTTCTTACCGTATTCACCTAAAAACAAAAGATAAGTCTTAAGAAAACAAAAAAAGTAAAACGTTGTTGAAATTTCAAAGGGCTGTTAGGCTGGTTACTTTATTTATTTTATAATTTCTTGAAAGGAATTATTCCCTAGAAAAAAAGTTATTCGTATTGAGTCTTTTATACATTGGAGTTTTTACTTTTCCAGAAAAGGACCTTATACACCCTCCATTGGGATCTCCCCATGGGAAAAAATAATTCATCTGATTTTTCAAAATGAGTATTCTGCTTCAATTTTTACATTTATATGCACACTAGTATCTTGTTGACCTTTATTCAGCACTGTATTGATGTATAGGCCACTTATTAGGGTCATAATTCAATCATGAAGTGTAGAGGCATAGATTCCAAACCAGGAAGTATTTTTGTGTCTGTCAAAATCCATTTACATCCTACGCATCCCTGCATCTTATCCAAATATGTTACTACATAATGAAATATAATAGTATAATCTTTGGTTTTTACAAACTTGTATGATATTTGACAAGTGTAAAAGTTGTTTTTGGAGCATTTTTCTATAATCATTTTGTAGGGAAAAAATGATGAAAAAATGTACAATCTTTTAATTTTAAGTATGACCTGAATCGATTGCAAACTTCATATTTGCACATTTGATGAGATAAACCATTTGTGTCGTATTGTTAAATTATTAAGTTTGCAATCGATTCAGGTCATAGTGTATTATTGGTATTTCTGTGATAATCAATGGAAACCAATGGCCTCTATTGGGATCTGCTGATATCCTCATGTTAAGTCAATGGTGCACAGCCCCATGTAAGTCAATACAACCTTACTGAACGAAATGATCCCTATCTCAGCTTATGTGTGTCCGAGCACTTTAATATTTTCCAAAGTAATATATGACATTTTATTCTTCATGTTACACCTACGAATGATTCATTTTGACCATAGGGATATTTGCCAATAATTGCACCTTGTCCTTTCAGAGGTGTGGTCAGCCTGGGTTAGTGAATATTAGTTCTTCGTTAACTAGCTTAAAACAAAGGTATGCGGTGTTTAAATTGTCATTCACTCTTCTATATCACTCGATATATGAAACTTATGTGCTAATTATCCCATCCAACGAATATTTTGTACACATATACCCTATTCACGAGGGGAAAGAGTACCCGTGTATATACAACCTACCGCCGAGCAAGACACGCATATACCGCCAAGCAAATGTTTGATAATGTCATCTCGTAGGAAAATGGACAAATTAAGAGATAAGGTAAACGTATAATGGTTTTCGATTTGTTTTTCTCATTCATACTCGCTTTAATTGATAATGAGCCATACACGAGACATACTTGGGTCCTTAAATGGATGTGCATATGCATAATATATTAAGTGTCAAAATATTATTATTTGAGTAAAATCTGTTGAGATCCGATTATATCGTCGAGTTTATGACGTGCTGATGAAAAAATAATAAACATACAATCTGCATCATTCATGTGAATCATTTTGTTGTGAACAATAAATGAAACTGAAAAAATATGGCCATCACAAGTTACCACTGCACATCGAAACATTGTATTTCAGGTCCTCGGTACAAATGCCTCCACTGTAGTTATAAATCACACGAGATGGATGACTTTGTGGTCCACTTCAGTCAGCACCATCCATTACTGAGTATATAAGTTAATGTGCCTGAGTTAAATGGCAAAAAATGGATTTACAATGTTTTTGACTATGGAATTGTATAATCAAAGAAAGATCACGGTAATTTTCGTTTCGAGGATATGAAGCTTGTTCAAAAGGATAGTCCACAAAAGAAGCGAGTAAAAATGCCGGACAAAACTGATTCAACACAGCGTCCAAGATCTTTATTTCAAGTGAGTCATCAAAACATAAGCGGGAATTATATCATATTATATTATACCCCGGTGCCAGGAGTATATGATAAATAAACAGGAATATTTGTGATATCGTCATGATATTATATGCTCATTCGAAAGCTTACTCACTAACTCATCGGGTTCTACTCACGGTATAGTCGGAATACTCGGGTGGTAGTTTCGGGTCCTATATAATCGTACTCGTGACATAATCGGGTCTTTCATTTTCAACTTTCACCGGTGATTTAAATGATATGCAACGTATGGCAGTGAAATAAATATGATACATTTACACCTATTGTATCTTTGAATCAAATGAAGTAAAGACAGCTATGGTTGTTGCTTATTCAAGATGTAAATCATCATTCAAATATTTAGAAGTTGAATTTAGCGATTGGATAGTAAACATTGCGCTAAGTACTCATTATTTTGCAAACATGAGTGCCTGGAACAATAACTTTATCAGTTAAACACAATCCTGTGTTTTATCTGTTTCTCATATTGAGAAATTCAAGATATAAACAAAAGTTTATAACTTAACCCCTACATTTTCAGACATCTTCGGGTCTTTGCTCGGCGGTAGGTTGTATATACACGGGTACTCTTTCCCCTCGTGCTATTGGGGTAGAATTCCTGTAAGCCGATTTTTAAAATAACCGTTCATTTAAAAATGGCGGCCATTTTAGTGCCGATATTACAGTAATTATCCCACCGAACGAAGTTCGAGGGGGATATAGAGAAACCGTCCGTCCGTCCGTCCGTTCGTCCGTCCGTCTGTCCGTCCGTCCGTCCGTCCGTTCGTTTGTCCGTGTGTCCGGGCGATAACTCCAATACCTGTAAACGGATTTAGTTCAAATTTTATAGGCTTATGCCTTATGAGTGTAGTACCTCTGCTCGAGAAGGAATTTTCAATATGGCCGCTCAATTCAAAATGGCCGCCATTTTTCGTAAGAAATGTAATCGTTGATAACTCAAATACAAGTTGACGGATTTAGTTCAAATTTTATATGCGTATGCCTAGGAACAAGGGAGTTTAACACAAGAAGAGATTTTCAAGATGGCCGCTTAATTACAAAATGGCGGCCATTTTTCGTAAAATATGTAATCTGATAATTCATATACCAGTGAACGGATTTGGTTCAAATTTTATATGATGATGCTTAGGGACACAGTAGCTATGTTCGACAAAATTTTTTCAAGATGGCCACTTAATTTCAAAATGGCGGCAATTTTTCGTAAAAAACGTAATCTTTGATAACTCAAATACCAGTGAACAGATTTGGTTGAAATTTTATATGATTATGCCTAGGGACATAGTAGCTCTGTTCAAGAAATAATTTTCATGATAGCGGCTGAATTTCAAGATGGTGGCCAATTTTCGTAAAAAACGTAATCTTTGAAAACTCATATACCAGTGAACAGATTTGGTTCAAATTGTATACGATGATGCCTAGTTCACAATTGTATAAACTAAATTTGTGCCACATGTAATGCTTTTATCACAAAGTGCACAAACATTTCAACATTTACACTAGCTATAATAAGCATAATATGTTTTGTTCGGTGGGATTTGCTACTCCGTGGAGTTGCTGTTTTTCTAGTTAAGGTACAATATAAAACTGTAATAGCAATACGTTTTTAATGTAAACAAACTTATAGAGGACATTAATGAAGCTTGAAATGTAGATATTAAAGAAGCACATGGCAGCCATCTTGACAAATGGCGGCCTTTATACGCTATTTTATGATGTTTTGCTGAAACTCGACAAGTGGCGGAGCGATTTTTTTATATTTGGTATGTGAATAAGCATGGCAGACTCTCTGATGACACTTTTAGTAGAAGACGGCCATTTTGAAAAATGACCGACAATTTAATGCTTCTTACTATAACTCGAAAGGTAGAGAAACGATTTTGTTCATATTTTATGTGTGAATACTATATGCCACACTGTCTAGTGATACTTTTGGGAAAAGGCGGCCATTTTGAAAAATTATCACCATTTTTGTGTGTGTTATTCTACGTTTTTATCTAACTCAAAAAGTAATAGAATGCTTTTATTAATATTTGATATGTGAATACTCATAAGAAGGGCACACTTTCTTATGGTATTTTGACTAGTAGGCAGCCATTTTGAAAAATGGTCGCCATTTACATGTACAGGGTGTTCAAAAAGTAACAGGACTGGTGCTGGCATTTTATCAACTCTGTACGGAGTGTCTTCAAATGTTCACAATTTGTACTTTGAAGTATTGCAACTAAGATTGTAAAGTTTCAGAAAAGTGATAAGATGCGGGTAGAGTTATAGGTACTATAGTTACATGACATACCAATACCCGGGGCAACTCTTTCATGAACATATTTATTCATGCTCCTGAAATATCACTATGTATTACAGTTTGCACAATTCACAGTAGAGCTTTTTAAAAAGGCCAGATTTGAAGCCAGTCATCCACCCTGATACCCCTTGATAATGCGCCTGCCCGCAAGTCAGCCTTAAAGACTGCAGCTAAAAGTCTCGGACCATGTACCATACTTCTGATCATGCAATATCTCATTTTTCTTCTATGAAGGGTGGAATGCTAATCAGCACGGTAAGACCTATAAAGATGAAAATGACCTTCTCTGAGTTGTCCAATTGACCCCGCGTGACAGATCTCAAGTGGGTTCACTCATGTGTTTGAGTCACTGATACAGGGTGCTACTCTTGTACTGACCAAAGAGGAGCTTACTTTTCAAAGTAGAGGAAACATAAAAAATATTAAATTATGTAAAGCAAATCCAATTCCCACCAGTTATTGTATTTCAACGTTGATATGGGATGAACAAAATGCTTAAAGTCTTCCTTTGTGGAATGTTGCCCTTGGTATTGTGATGTCATGTTACCATAGCAACTAACTCTACCCGAGTTCTCGCTTATGACAACCATGGATAACAATGATGTACTATCACACTATACACTGGCGTAGCCAGAATTTGGTGACCAGGGGTTCTATTATTCATGTTTTTCATGAATCCCCCTCCATTCATTCTAGTTCCTTACAGTATTCATAGGCTGATCCAGAAAGTAACAAGGAGGGGTCCAAATTTCTAGTCTGCCAGTTTGGCAAGTTTGGCAACCCGTATTCCCCCAT